AATAAATATAGACAACACGTTCCACTTAATTAAATAGACTTTTTAATAAATGTTTTCTCCTACAACATCAGAGTGCAGCTGCACATTAAATACGCACTACAATGACAACAGTTTAAAGCGATTTGAAGCATGTTTTATATTTGGGGGGGGGGGGGGTGCAGAGCTTTGTGACGTCATATTTGAGGGGGGTCTGACTTTTTGTGACGCCGTGTAACAAGGGGGGGGGGGGGGGTCAAAAATCGTCCAAAATCACGTGACGTAATTTATGGACGGCCCCTAAAATGTCATGGTACATACACATCACACGTGGGATTCTAGGCGAGGAACACCATACCAGCAGTACGGTTATTGAAAACGCTAAACCCTATGCCTCGGGCTGTATTTAAATGCACTACGAGAGCCGATGGCAGTTTTCGTTTTACATCGTTTAGTGCTGCACGTAGCACCTTTGGCGTATTTATCGCATTCAGCCCGGCATTCAGTCACTGCACCCATGGGCATAGGTAAATTGCCTGTATGCGGCAGCATTTAATTGGCAGCTTTTCAGCTGATGCCATTCCCACGAGGCCTGGAAAAAGCCATGCCTTCCTACGGCAGAAAGCCATAGCTGAGCATGGGCATTTGTCAAACCGTACTGCGTCTGCGTGGACGTACAGAAAGGGCTGCGTTAAAAAAAAACCGCGCTAATCCTAAAGAAATAAAAAATAAACCAATGCAGAACCTCAGCCCTGGTTTTGCTATGGACAGGATGTGGCAGATCTCTAAGCTGGATTGGCCGTTGTGTTTAATGTCTGTGGACAAAATGCACCCATTTTAGAAAGCGTTTTTTACATCCCTCCCCCGCCAAACGCTACCCCCACGAGCTCTAGACAAGGGGAATGATCTACACAAAATACTGTATTTGCTGATACAAGCAATGATCGGTCCCAGCTTGTAGAAGGTAAAAACGAGATGAACAAATAAACAACATTTTCCACACATTCCACGACGCACACAGCAACAGTGTTTGTGAGGAACTCTGAGTGGGGTTTTTTTTCCATGGGTTTCTACGTAAAGATTTACACCAACTGGGCACAAGACATGGTCTGTTGTACACATTTGAAGGGGGTGGAGTGCCACTGCGGTTATTAGTGCTCACCGGCATGAACCTCGCGACATGGGTTTGATTCCCAGCCACAGCTAACAGCAGATTTGGTTAAAGTATGGTCAAACAAACCTCATAACTGGAAGGCTTGGGAGGCCGTCGTCATCCAACGGTAGATTGATAGATGGCCATACATTATAAGAGCTAGGCAAAACAAATTTCACATCACGTATGTCTATGCCTCTCGGAGGCCTTCATCCAACAGTGCATTGATAGATGGCTGTAAATTACAAGAGCCGGGCACAACAGATTTCACATCACGTAGGTTTATGCTATCTTGGTCTACCTACACTCATCCTATGTTGCCCACCCCTATTTTTGCACTCTCTCCCCAAGCCATTTATTGCAATCAAATCTCTGCCCGCCCCTCTTCAGGCCCAATGTCCTCTGCCTATGGCTGTCTCTTGTCTCTAACATACACAAATGCTGTATTGTATACGTTTGCCTAATTTTTCACAGTGATGGACACATCCCAGTGTAGTAAACTTGGAACTATGGGCCAACGATGGGCCAGAGTTGGTCAAACGGTTCCAACCACATGCCAACATTGGTCCAACATCGCATATTTGCTGGAACCACGCTGATTTGTGGCGTCTTCAGATTATGTTTTATGTGCGCACAATTTAAATGCAAATACGAAACAGGAACATTCTTCATATTGTGAGGGAAAAAACTTTCATGAGGTAGTGATGATCCTAAAAGGTAAGCAGTGGGATTTTGAAGGTGCAAATGTAATTGGTCTTCATGACCACGACTGAAATTTGCGCCATTTGTTTTTTTTAGATTACCTTTGGGGCACGGCTAAAACTCGACCCTTGGACCAAGTCGCTGTAGTGAATGACTCCTGATACTCAACGGATTTTAACCGTAACATAAATCAGAATCAGAAAGGGTTTTATTCGTCATGAAAGTTCGCACAGACAAGGAATTTACTTTGGCAGGAAGGTGCATACATTCAACATATAGGAATACAAGTCTAACTATACTATAAGACGCTGTCACCATCTACCCACCAAATAACCTGTAGCAAGCCCAACCCCCCACCAGATCTCGAAAGCCTCGTTGTGATTGTCCGTGGAGTCACCACGATAAACAGGTGTTATAGGCTCCAGTACTACACTGCCAGCGGAGGGCAGTGCAGCAGAATCAGTTGTACTGTGTTATGCTCGAATGTCTGTGCTTCCTGCCTTCACCAACTAGGGTGGTGAAGTATGGTCATATTAAATCTTGACTTAAAGCTTTCGTGACTGCAGGAATTCATATTCTTGAGTCTTTCGGTAAAGTCACGTAGATAGGTTCAAAGAAAATAACAGAAAAATTACAAAAAACTACGACGTTTTGATCGCAACACAAGCAGTTGTCTTCAGGAAAAGGGGGCTTAGCTTCCAAGGCAAACTATTTATAAGAGTTTGAAATGGGCGTAGCCCAAATGTAAGCAGCCAATGATAATGTAAGTGGTGGGCAGCCATCCCAATGGTGGTTGGTTTTCCACCAATCAAAGGGCTGCCAGGTGAAAATTAGCACGTTTAATAGAGATTAGCATATTCTTGGTTCTTTCGGTAAAGTCACGTAGAAAGGAAATAATAAAATAATATTGATATAAAACATGTTAATGGGAGATCGCGAAGTAACTGTGCTAGTGTGAACCCTGTGAAAGCGCAAGTTTTAAATGGGAGTAAAGCACAACTAACATCGGAAGGTGGTAGGATAGGAACATCATAGCCGATTATGACTTAAACTAGTTGATAATATCCTTCCAATGATTGCTCAGTGTTTACCCATCTTCTCGGTTGAAATTGTGTCTGTGTCTATATATATGGATTGCTTCATGAACGAATTATTGTTGATAGCCAGTGTGCTTGCAAAGTACCTTCGTCTTAGATAAATCAATTTCGTGTGAGCCCACCGCATTAAAACAACAATCAGCCACGGCAGAGGTATTGGTCCTACCGTGTTTCAGATCTGTCTTATGTTCACGAACACGGTCCAAGACATGTCGCTTAGTTTCCCCAATGTAACTACTGCCGCAGACACAGCTTAGCTTGTAGACGCCGGGGTATTGCATGTCAGGGATCACATCCTTCACAAATGGGATCAGAACATGAATTTTATGTACTGTGTTAGATTGAACCTGGATCTTGTGTTTGCTCATGATTTTGGAAATATTATTAGTGACCCCTGCTATGTATGGCAAGGTGATGGTTTTGACAGGGTCCTCAGATGGTTCTTTCCCAACGGTTGGGGTGATAGCTTTACGGATTGTGTAGTCTGAATATCAATTCACCTTGAGATATTGGTGTACGTGTTCCAGTTCACTGGCTAGGTGATAACGGTCGGAAATACATCGAGCTCTATGGTGTAGAGTTTTGATGAGGGAATTCTTCTGGAATATGGTCATAAAGCTCGCACGGTGTGGCAAAGGCCGTCATCCAGCTGTGGAATTGCCAAAAGGGTTCTACATATACAGTAGACCGTTTCCCAACAGGATAGTTTGCAGACATGCACAATTGTAGGGTAGTCAATGCAAGGATGCCTTCAGTGAACATGCAACGTTGGGCTGACTGTCGCAACCACGTGCCAAAGTTGGCTCAACGTTGCATGTTTACTAGGGGGGCTACCATATTGGCGGACTTGAGCATTACATGATAACCAATATGACAGCCAGGCTGTAACGCTCATCGCAGACAGAGTCCAAAACGACTATTGAGTAAGATACGACAACATCTCATAACATGTACACGTGCAGCCCTTTCTCTCATCCACTGCTGGATGAGCACCTCCCCACTAAATGACATTTGGAAAGCAATGCATAATGAAAAGAAATCCCACACTGCAACACCTGCCCTCCCATGGCATATACGAGCATAGCATCTTGTGGCCCTTGAACATGTTGAGGAAATGGTGGCAACAGCAATTGCAGTTGTATGGCGATTTTACTTTAAAAAATTATCATCAGCACAGTCTACCCAACGTATCACACTGTACAGTCCAATTATGTGAAGGTTTCATTATTCCTCGTGATCATCAGCTCTGTAAAGCCTTGCTATCCTAACACGGCAGCTGTATGCTCGTTAAAACCCCAATAATTGATAGTGCAGCGTAGCTCTGTGTTTGAATATTGGGGCCAGAACAGAGAAAACGCTCTTAAGATTGATCTAAGTCTTGCAGTCTACGATTGTGTTACGTTCATTCATTTCGTGACACATTCTGTACTCTGGCCCCACACATTAGACATTGTTTTTACTGGGTAGGAATGATGGCTGATGGACAAGACAGGAAATAGGACCGCAGCTATTGCAAGTTTCACCTTTATTGGAGATCATCGGTGCAGCATAACCATGCACCATCCCACAATTTAACGGAATGAACATAATGCCTCTTCCCAGCAGTGATTGTGTGCACATACGAGGCGTCAAACATCAAGTAGATGCTTACGAAACGAGGAAAATTGTTTCAAATTTTGGCTTTTTGGTGTGATTTGTCACTCAGTCATTGCCATGCAGTGGAGGGCTTTACAGCTCGGGCCCACGGGGTGCAGGGAAACCTCAACCCCCCCCCACCACCCACACACCACCCCACGCCCTGCCCCTACTACGCATGCGCCACACCCCCCCCACCAACCTTCCGTCGTCGCCCGTGGCAACCAACGATCTCACGCGCGGTTGGCCAACGCGCCCTCGTACGTCAAAACAAACGGCGCTCCTATTGGCCAATCGGAATTCTCGCAGGGGGGGGTGCGTGGGCGGTGAGGAAAGTGGGGGGGGGGAGTCGTGGGTGGGGGGGAGTGGTGGGTGGGGGGACTTGTGGGCGGGGCTAGAGGGGGGGGTTTGGAGGCGGGGCTAGTGGCGCGAGGGGCGGGGCGAGGGGGAGGGTGTCCCGGCGTCGCCATCTTGAGGGAGAGCCGAGCTCTCTTCGCGTCTCGCTGCTGTTGCCGCCGCCACCACCACCCTTGCCTCGCTCTCCCATCTCTCTCCGTTCTCTCGTCCTACTCGCATCCGAAAGCCAACGCGATGGAGGAGAGGGAAGACCAGGTCTATCAAGCCAAGCTGGCCGAGCAAGCGGAGCGCTATGATGGTGAGGAGGCGGCGGAGGATGGAGGACGGGGGGGGGGAGACGTTTCGATGTTGCGTTAGCGGGCGAGGAAGACAGACGTTAACTTGATTTACACGCTATAAACGCGGCGTACAATGTCGTGCTCGTCTCGGCGGATTCGTTTGGCACGTTTTTTACAAGTATTTTCGCGTGAAGGGGTTTTTTAAAAGTGTTTTAATTGAGAATCGCGTGAGAGATTTTCGTTTTCACTCGGCCACTCGCCTCTTCAAAATGGCCGCCCTACAGGGAGCGCCCTCGGGCGTTTTTTTTCCTTCAACATTTTTAGCGATTTTATTTTTTAAATGAATTGCTTCTCTTCCCAAATGAATTCGCTTTCGTGATGCTAGTTATTAACTTGTTTTAAGCGTTGTATTTTTTCCGCTCGAATGTACTTTTCACCGATTTTTAATTTCCAACCAAGCCTGACCTTTTTTTCGTACTAGACATGTGTGTCTATGGCTCTGCTGAATTAGAACGCCGAAGTAAATGTTACGATACTGTTGCTACACATTTAACGTAATGTTTTAATCGTAGGTGATAATTGCTAAACATTACAGCCTCGTAAATTGTTCTAGGCGTAAATGTATATTTTTAAAATATATAATTGATGGTAGCTCTCGATAACCTTTCGGGGATGGAACCCATTGTATGTGTCATTTATCGTTAAATTGATTGCAACGCGGTAAATGAGTCCCGTTAAATGCATTAATTGTCACGGAAATGTGTGGCGGTGCAAGGTGCGGCAAAGGCGTTGCCGGGCCTTTATCGCATTACAGCCCTCGAAGGTGGCCCCGTCGTTTCTACGTTTATTTAACATCGCTCACCTACCTTGCACATCTTACAATTACATCTTTAAATAAATCAGCGGTCTTATCGATTGTTATAGATTCGCGCTGTTCGAATTTCAGGTCTGAATGACGAAGGCGTTGACCCTTGCGTTGAAATCAAGAATATAACCGATTAATCAATGAAACAATGGCTTCTTATGGTCATCTTTTCGTGCAAGAAAGGATCTACTCTAGATGGCTTTCAAGTTAAGCTTATGAAACGATCGAGGGACAGACAAACCCCACCGTACAAGCAGTACACATGAGACGGGGACAGTATAGGCGACAAAGGCGGCAATGCAGTACGTACTGTATAGGTAGTCGAAACGAGATGAGCTGTTTGTGCAGATAGTACGCACGACAATATAAAATCGTCAATAGCTGACGGAAGTAAAAACCAGACGACAGTCATTGCTTTTTGAATTGTGATATGTCCCCATGCCCACTTTAGTCAGTCCACTGCTGGATGAGGGCCACCCCAAGGCGTGTGTGGGTATTGGGAGTTATTTAACCATACCTTACCACTGGTGAGTTCGAGTTGGCAAAAAAAGCGAACTCGATTCCTACCTGGTGGGCTGCAGCCCACAACGTAGGAATCTTCCGTGCCCTATTGTGAAATGCCTTGAGATTGGCGACATGCGAGCGCCACCGCCCCAGAACGAGTCATCTCTGCAAGAGGTGGGGGGGGGGGGTGTTGAGTCGTTCATTTTCATTTGCTCTGAGTGACCCGAGAAGGACGAGTGGTGGGACGGGTGTGAAAGGCCCCCACCACAAGCCACCGACGTGATGAAGGTGTCCACCGGGAATGGTTGACTACCATCACGCCTCTTTGAGAGGGGGGGGGGGGGGCTCCTTCGCCGGCTGTCTCGAGCCCTCTTTTTTTTCTCATGTGAAATGAAAAAATTGCATTGGGTTACATATGCAATGCGGTGAGAATGACTGCCGCGTTAAAAAAATACTTTAGCGGGAAATCTCTTCGAAACCTCCCCCCTACTACTACTACCACCTAACCTCAACCCTAACCCCCCAACAACCCCAAAGTGCCCGTACATGGGTTTGCCGCGCCCCACGAGACGCGAAACCCATTTGCGATTGGCGAAAGAAGTGTTCTTCACGACGGCGCCTGCATCGCTCGCAATCCCCCCCCCCATCGAGACGGAAGTAGGATTCCATCGATAACGCCCTCAAGGTGCGGCCGCAATGGCAGCCGCGTTCGTTAATTTTTAGGGCCATATGAAAAGGTCAGGGTTACTTGGTGGGCAGCAGAGGGCAGTGTAGTAAATCCATTGTACTGTGCCTGTCACGTCCATGCTTTCCGCCTTTTTACCCCACACGCCGACCGGCGTTGTGACTGCTGGTCAAATAGCCCCACGGGTCTTGATAGACGTGACCAAGCACACTATGGGCATGCCCTCATCAACTAGTTGATTGACAAAGTGGGCAGGGGGGGGGGCTGCACACGAAAAGGTTAGGTGAACATGCAGTTAAGCGTGTCACGTTATCCATGGGGAACATCGGCCCAAATTGCACCACGGATGTCCAGTACCGTGCCCCCCCCCTCGCCACCTCGATTACACAATTGAATTGAATCGACGGCTGATTTATGCAGCCACCAGAGTGCTTTGTAAAAAAGGAGCTCACTGCATCTAAATTAAGTTGGTGGGTAATCCCTTCTAAATCTTATGAATAAACATGACATTAGTTTTGAAGCAATTCTTACATTGTTATGAAAAAAATAAGTAGATGACAGTGTATCCTTAATATATATTTCTCCACAAAAAAACAAGATCTCTCTTACACAACTGGTCAGTCACACGTCCTCAACGTCTATAAAGTCAAAAGTATTGACTCAGTACAAGCAAACGCTGAACTGGCTTTGACAGCGTCTCCGAAACAGAATCGATACTGGTGAATTTGCCAGTTTTTGGCAAGGACTCTCTGTTTAAGGTATGGGCCCTAGTTAGACGCAACATTATATAATAGGCAACTGAAAATCCGAGTGTCTTGGAGAATATAAATAACATTCTGGTATCCACATGTTTATATTTTATTTACATTATATTAATTTGTTAGGTTGGAGGTAAAAATTTGAAAGTCGCACAATTCCGTGTTGAATTTTTTGTGCAGAAATGAATAATGTACTCTTATTATTTGTGGCTGCAAGTGTTAACAGTGCTGCATAGGGCCCCACACGTCTCTACTTGCTGCATAATTTGCAGTCTTCTCGCACAAAGCAAATGTCCCCAAGCTCGTGTTTGTTCTCGATTGTTAACGTGGTATATTCTTCAAAGATGACTCATGACAATTTGTTAACGACCCCATTCACCAATTATCGTCTTTAGAAAACTAACTGCAGTGTTGTAATTGATGTACCATTGAGCCCTGTGGGTTATTTTTTTCACTAACACTACGAGAGTTATAGCTTAACTCCAGTGCCGAACCAGTTTTTCAAAGACCGGTACAGTTTTTCTTCATACAGGCCATTTGAATGAAAGTCGTGTAATCTTATCATAAATCAAGTTTATGGCATTCTCCGGAGGTCATTTTACGTATCTTACTCGGAGGGTATTTTCATCTCAACAAACTTGAGTTAAATTAAAAGTAATGTTTATAGGTCACAGGGCTCAATGGAGCATATACTGTATTCAAATTGTGGCCAGCGTTTCCTTAAAGAGGCTAGCACTTTCTCAGAGCTGAATGGGAGCTGATGTCATGTCTAGGGAGGGGTTCTTCTGGCTGTGTAAGGATGGCTTTCATTCCTGGGCCATACTTGTAATCCAGGGAGTGGCTGTTTGCAGTGTGCTGGCGTAGCTGATTAGTCGTGTAGCGTTACACTCATATGCAGAGGCATGTAAAAAATAGCTTTTTCCCCCCATTTGTTCTCAATTGCAAATATTGTTTGGCATAATGCAGGTAGCCTTATTTTATTATTGTAATGCAATGTTAGACTTTAACGACTGCCTGCGGATTTGGTCATCTTGGTTAAGGTGCCGAGGGCAAGTTCGGTTGTCGGTGGTGTTTGTAAGACATTGCCAATACGTTTCTGCATGACCCTGGGGTTCATGCATGCGATGGTGCGTGAATTGTTCCGTTTAATAAATTGGCATCGCTTGCTTGGTGCGTAATTGGGCCGAACAGGCTTTACCCCACGATCGATTTGCTTATAATGCTCATCATAATTTGAGGCAGTAAATGCAAAAGACTGGTGTGATTTGTGTGGCCCTGTTTTCGTAAAAAAAATATGCAGCATTGTGGACCATTTGGGCGAATAATGCTTGAACCGAAAAAAAAAATTGTCTCTGCGCGGCTGCAAACACGGCGTTGCAGGGATGCATAATTTATGCCGTAGAAACATCTGATGGTTATATCCCATTGATTTTCATCCGGTCCCCAACAATGGTATGTCCAATCCATAAGTGTTTTGTAGAGGGCTGTAATTGTGGCCTTTGCAGTGAATTAATGCATTTTCTTAACGTAATATAATGTTGGATAATTCTGTTAACAAAGAGCATAATCGCCGCACCATTCATTAATGTGACCTAAGTATATAATCATACTAAAAACGACTGCTTTCAAAGAGTTAATGAGCATACTAGCAAGAAGAACTTTGCATGTTCATGATGATTTAAATGCCTGTGTTAAGGCTGCTTACTGGGCAGAGGATATTTCTGTTGAACCCTCTTCTTTGCCCGTCCTAGGACGGAAGCTGTAATATTTACGAAAACATTGAGCAGAGTATAATTGTATCTTGTGTAAATTAAATGGCAGTAAATCTTGCACGAAAGTATGTCATCAAACACTTCACTGCATTTCACTGTAGCACTGCATTAATGGCAGTGAATCTTGCACAGAACTGTCATAAAACACCTCACTTCATGTCACTGTAGCACTGTATATAACTGACCTTCAATTTGTTCAAATTCACTGCTCTGATACTTTATCCTCTTCTGCTTTCGGTCGCTGGGGTTAAAATAAATTGGAAATCGTTACAATATCTGTAAAAGCGCCGAGAAATGTCTATTCTACCATAATGGAGACGCATAAATTAGACTTACCTTTTGTCTCAAGTGCTGAAGAAATAAAGACACCAAATCCACTTTGTTGCTGCGTATAATTATGTATTAGATTCACTTTCAATAAAGAAACGTCAAACTTAAAGCGAATTTGTAAAAAAAAATATTTCCGCTCGACCTTCTGCATGAGTAAAAATCCACCCGCTCATGAATATTAATGAGGGGGGGCATGTGGAGTGACGTCACGCGCGTTACACAGACATTCTTGGCTAATTGTAATTTGTTATTTGCTTCTGTTCGGTGGATATCCATTTTTTTCCCAGCCAAAAGATAGTCGAGTTGCTTCATCAATGTCCACGTGCTTCCATTGCCAGGTCAGGTAATTTATAAGGCAAATTTTCTCAGGATAGGGCAAGTTCTTGTGAAAATGTATTGAAACATTTTAGTAAGGTAATTTACGTGAAGCAGTTCAGTGTCAGGATGTGGCCCATCTTGATTCCTGTGGAACACTGATCGGCACGTAATGGGTGCCAGGCTTCCGTCAAGCCAGTCCAAGTCAACCTCGGCAGCCGTGGCCCACACCACGCCCCGGGCACTGGGCGAAAGATTAGAATTCTGCAGGAATCATGCTCCAGGCTGTCTCGCTCCAAAGCTTAGCGTAGCCTTTTTTCTTATTATCTCGTCAGGTCTAATGATCACATTTGATGGTAGGTCGATTGTAAAAATTCTAGAATCAATGACTGCCCTCCATGGGATTATTGTTTTACACGTCTGGAAAGGGGGCTTTAAACGTAAGCCACTATTGAAGTATCTGATTAAAATTATAATTGGCAAAGTCTGCTCTGTAATAGCAGCTTTGTGGAATCGGACCCATGTGACTGGACACATGCATTGAACATTTTTCTAATTTTTTAAAGCATAAAATTGCTTACCTAGCAACATTTGTGATGGGCAGGCAATGCATCCTAATTACTGATTCGTGCCCTTCAGCTGCAGTGAGGCAGGCCTGTTTACGTCCTTTGAAACAGGGGAAACGATTGCCTAATAAAGCTATCGATTCTACCCCCAGATACAAAACCATCTCAAACAAAGGCTGCGGCCACACTCGCCTATTGCATTCCGTGGAACTCATTCGATCAGTGGGCCACAACAGTCAAAATTATGCAAGCCGCACAAATCAATTATTCAGCAAGGCAACTGGGCCTGCCGCTGGACAGTGTTTGATTGCGCGAGGTTGCATGACGCTCACTCGGTAGCGAGCGAGAGGTGTTGTTGTCTTTCCCTGCTCTAATGGAGGCATCCTGAATCTGTGCACAGCCCCCTCCTCCCATCCAGGTCTTCTCGATCTGGCGAGCTGCCAAGCTGTCGGCTCTTGCCAACAGTTTAATATTGCAGTGGGGTCCTAACGGCTTCCTTGCAAAGCCACCTGCAGTTTCTTTCGAAGGAGCCATTTTCTTTTTCGATTCTGCACGGCGCCGTTGAAGGTTGCCGATAGTTTGCGCACTGGTTTTTGCTCCCCCCCTTCCCCCTTTAACTGCGGGATTTTTTTTTATAATTTGGCAAAACCGTCAGAAGTCTAGTTTACTTGACGTGCATACAGATCAGGCTCATCCGTATGTAAATGCATCGCTTAGCGACCCCCCTCCTACGCCCTTGCCACAGTCTGACGTGTGTATAATGGTCACTCTTTTTCCAAGCTTTAGCCGTTCTGCGCGTGACAAGGCAACACAGATTAATTCTCGCGTGTGGGCAGCTGCGCTTTGAGATAACTATGTTACTGTAGTATTATTTTACCGTAGTCCATTTTCCAAATTTAATGGCTAAAATGTTGATCGTGATTTTAGTGTTCGCGACAACCCACAATTTGTAGTGTTTTAAAAACACATTTTCTGGCTACTATGTGTTTCTGGAAGGAAATGAAAGTGCAAGGCATTGGCTGCAGCAATGGTTAATGTCAGCCGCGCAGATTCTCAATGCAGTGCGCATGCGGCAGAAATGACCTTGTGGCATTTCAGTGCTTGGCCTAAAAATCTGTAGCTTTTTTTAAGTCCTTATGACATAACTGTAGCCTGTTGGTCAAGTACCACTTTGTGGGAAAGTCAGCAATGATTGTCCTCTGGAGAGTCTCACCTCCTGCCTCGAATGTAGAATTTCCATCCCAAGCGCCATTCAGCAAGAGATATGAGCACTGCTTCAATGCTCATTGAGCAAGAAGTCGCGTTAAGCTGGTTGGTTTACCAACGCTGTTGTGTTTAAGAATGAATGAGACAAGACATGCAAAACTGGCTTAAAGGCAGGTGGTGCTCATTTTGAAAATGCAAATGCTGCTTGTGACCAGAACTCCATGCCATGTACCATTTGTGCCAACTCAAGCCGCCAGGGCTTGTTCGTCGAGCAAGCTTGGCTTGAGCGTGATGTCAACCTTAAGGAATTCAATTCATACGTGTTGGGGGAGGGGTAGAATTGTGCACGGGCGCAGGGCGAGTGTGTGATTTTTATTGGTGCTTCACGAGAAGAGAACTGCGTCTGTGGATTTTATTGCTTTTTCTCAATGTATAGGTCTGTTTTAAGCGTTCATGTAGAACATGATGGCAAGGGGTAATTAAAACTATTAAAAAATAGTTTAATTGTGAAGTTATTAATGCACTATCTTAACGTGGATTTACGATTTGGACTTGATGCATTGTAATTGTAGATCTTATCTGTTATTTACTGTGGTCATTCTCCACTTGCAGTCTTTTACCAGGAGAGGACTGCGCATTTTTGAATGTCTCATGCAGTGCTCTCAGCCAATTGCGCATGAGCCGTGTATGGAGCAGAGCTCCCTTTGTTTGGCTCTTTCATTTCTCTCTACGAATAATGGGAACACGTGACTCGTGCTCACCTCTGCAGTGTAACAAAGCTTCCCAGTGATGACTTAGATATGTATACCTCACCTTTAGGACATTGATACAGCTCCGTGGTTTGCCTACGGTGATATTTGCCATCTGAAAAAGAGCTTCATAGCTCACCAGATTCCTCCAGTCTAAATAAAGATTCTGATTCGTATTGTGCTTTGAACTATCGGCAGCAAGTGCATTCTAAGTTGTATTTTCGGAAAATAAACGGCAGAAAACTGTCATCTTGTAGCTTCCTTACTCTTTGGTTCTTTCGGTAAAGTCACGTAGGTAGAAATTAAATATAACAAGTTCATTTTATTTTACCGAAAAAACCAAAGAGTATGGATTCCTGCAGTCACGAAAGCTTCAAATCAAGATTGTAGCTTCCTTTTTTAGATAATTATATAATTGGTGGCAATTGAAGGACTCGTCATTGTCATCCAGTGAGTTGGCTTTTAATTGACAAACGGCACTGAAAACCCGTGTTGTGCTCTTATCTCTTTTTGCTCGGTTCAGAAATGGTGGAGGTGATGAAGAAGGTGGCCGGGCTCAACCTGGAGCTGTCGGTGGAGGAGCGAAACCTGCTGTCGGTTGCCTACAAGAACGTGATCGGGGCACGGCGCGCATCCTGGCGCATCATCTCCTCCATCGAGCAAAAGGAGGAGAGCAAGGGCAGCGAGGGAAAACTCAAGATCATCCGCGAGTACAGGCAGACTGTGAGTGGCACGCACACACGCACACACGTCTGCCTGTAGTTTTTATTCATGCGCACAGGAACGAGGCTGCCGATCACGTGTCAGCCGTTTTGGAAGGTGACCCACATTGCTCTCAAATGAGCTTTTTGTGCTTTCAAAAGCTTTGGATTGATATGGCACATGGTGTGGCCTGTATTGCATAGGTTAGTGAGGTGCTATTGTGGTGTCCTCGTTCCCAGGAACTGCTTTGGATCCTTCGGCTTATTAATTTTTTTTGTATTACACCTATTAAAACACATGTCATAGGTAGAAATTGTATGTTTGATTATGGGGCTTGCCTACCTCAAGGACTTGACATGCAAAGCTCATTCTAGATCTTTCATTTTTAATAGTAAAGTGTATTTTAGTAAAGCGTATGATGTTGCACAAAAATGGTGGCCAATTAGTTTTTTTCTGTGCGTAGCTGAAGGGCTTTCTCTGAGTTCGTGGTGCCTCTATCCCAGGTGGAGAAGGAGCTGAAAGATATCTGCATGGACATTCTGGAGGTGCTCGACAAGCACCTGATTCCCGCCGCCATGACGGGTGAATCGAAGGTCTTCTACTACAAAATGTAAGGGCATCACTTGTTATACACCGTGCCTTTGTAGCCATACAATTAGCCTAGATTGCGTTTGTGCAATAAATGACCCACAGCTCTGATTAATGCATCGGTGAAAAGGGTGTTACATTAGCAGACATTTTAATTTAAACAGAAATATGGTGAGTTTGCTGATATTTTCAGTCGTTTTTTTTCTTTTCAAATGGGCGTGTAAACGCAGCTGCCACCAATCAAAACAATTTGGGACGGTATATGGCAACTTTCACCCACTTGAAAGGTGAAAGGTCTGGTGAACTTTCGTCGACTGGGAAAAATTAATGGACCGTATAACCGTAAAAACATAAGAAAGCACCGTTTTTATCCATCAACAATTGAAACAAAATTTGATGGAAAACTTTGGTCCAGAGACAGAACATTGCCTTTATTATTTTACAAACCGCAATCCGCCATCGCTACGACGGCACAAAATAAATCGCGTGCTAAACACAAGTGTCACGGGTGACGCGATGCTATTGCAGGAAGGGCGACTACCACCGGTACCTGGCAGAGTTCGCCACCGGCAATGACCGGAAGGAGGCAGCGGAGAACAGCCTGGTGGCGTACAAGGCAGCGAGCGACATCGCAACCACCGAGCTGCCACCCACGCACCCCATCCGCCTCGGCCTCGCGCTCAACTTCTCCGTCTTCTACTACGAGATCCTCAACTCGCCTGACCGCGCTTGCAAGTGAGTGTATGGGCAGGGGCGGACCTGACGTGCGCACCCTCCTGTCTGCCACATACACACACGCTGTCAACGTACCTGTGAAGTTCCCTTTGTGTGGCAGGGTGCTGCAACTGTATCTTACCGTTGGGCCACGCAATAAAACTAGTTTGTTGCTGGTGCACCACGTCACACCATATCTCGCCCATCAGTCTCGGGCGTAGAGATGTTACGCAAGTCACAGGATGTCGCAGCGTCGGGCATGTGCCCGTTAATCTGTGCCTCTCTCCTAGTGTCTTAAGTCTTGTTTATATTTCTTTCACGTCACAAATCATTATCTCTGTCCCTCGGAGCCATATCACTCAAGAGGACTACTTAAGAGGCTTGATGGCCTATGGGACCACTGGTTGAATAACCCTTTTCTTGTGGAATAACTGTTGTACATTGGTTGCTTCTATGCTTTTTGTACCAAATGGAGAAGAACAGATCTTTCATTGGCCACTGCAGTAACACGTTTAGGGCTTTGGATTTTGTGATTTTTTTTGTTTGTTATTGGCATGGTGACAAGTGCACCTGTGTCCAATGTCTACCAATCAAATACTTTGGAACCTTGGGGTTTTTTCTTGTTTGGTGAACACAGACTTGCACCGTCCGCATCACTCTTCATGAGATGCGCAGAAGTAAAAAACAATACGAGGCTCTAGTTAGTGTCATTTTTGTCCAGAATTGGCTTGAATTAACCTTGGACGTTGTGTGGGGTGACGCAAATGAAGATACCAAACTGGGATCCCCATGATGCACTGTATGTGTGTGTGTGTATATGCACACGTGACGGCACTACAATTTTAAGGACTGTCGTCTCCTGAGAATAGCTGATAAATCTTGTGTTGAATGAACGTGTAACCCAGCATACAAATCTCTGTACCCAGGATGTCTCCTCAGCTGTCTGACATTAATTTAAAGCTTTATAATCAGACAAATGTATCAAAATCCTCTTCTTGTGCTCTGGTGATGTCACTGCAATGACATAAAAAATGAGTGACTACACTGCCATCACTCGGGTGTTATCATGAAATGCGTGGCCATCGCTATGAAAGACTTCATTGTTGCTAACAAAGCCATAGACTTGTGTATAGGTACCTGTCTACCTTATCAGAGCGATTTTTTTTACTCTATCTTGCACGCTTTTTTGTGCTGGGAGCAGCTGAAATTTTTATTTAAAGCATTTTTCGAAAATGACCAGTCGTTGATTGCATTTATCCAGATTCCAAAGAACACAGGATGAGATGTTACTATCCTTTGTGCAAGCACTTCCAAGAGTTCATGAACAGTGAGCCTGGTGAAATTTGGGGAGCGCATCGTCAGTAGTGAACCTACTGACGATGCGCTCCCCAAAGAGAAAGAAAAAAATCTGATTTCACACTTCTCTACACCTTAGAATATTCCGTCTGCAATAAAAAGTGGAATTTCACTTTGACGAAAATTGCTTTGGTCTGTGAGGGCGAAGCTAGAAACATGCCTGTTCTTGCCCTCGTGTGTTAGGAGCTGGAGAGGAAACCACATTAGTAACTGCGGGGGCCGCATGGCTGCAACGCAATAAGATTAGAAAAGGGATTGTAGTAGTACGGCTGTGCACACTTGATGAGTGATGACTTTAAAATAAGCTCCTTATTGCCGTTTGAAAACAAACACCAGAGCCTCGCTGGAGTCAACCGAAACATTGCGCACTCGCCGAGCGAGGGGTGGGTGAGGCGACGCGTTTCCCGCTCTGGTAATAATGCCGTGGTGTGGAGGAGGGTGGGGGGGGGCAGTTATGTCGGCGCTTGCTTGCTTGCCGTTGATTTTGTTGTTGTTGCCGGTGTCGCTCGCACCACCATGATGCTGCAGGTTGGCCAAGACTGCGTTTGACGACGCCATCGCAGAGCTGGACACGCTGAGCGAAGACTCGTACAAGGACTCGACGCTCATCATGCAGCTGCTGAGGGACAACCTGACGCTGTGGACGTCTGACATGCAAGGCGACGGTGAGTTGTCGGTTTGCGCGCTTCGTGGCCACTTCCGGCCACACCCGCTTCCAGCTGCCAACGTAATGCCCTGCGGTACTACAAGCCGTCTGTGTAGAAACGCACATCCCTTGCGTGTTTATGTACTTTATTGTTGAAGTGTTTATGATATTTACTCGTGCACAGCAGATTTCTGTTGGATGCACTAAATGATCGTCGTTCGTGCCGCCGTGCAGGTTTTTGCGGTCTTGCTGTTTAGTTATGATGCGTTTTTGGGTTCTTGCATGCTGTTCAGAATTATGCCTGACGTATCCGCTCCACATGCTGGGAGTTGTTGGTGACAAAGCCCCCCCACCCCCCCCAGCACGTGGACCGAACTGTCGAAATACCATGCTGAACAGCTCGTGGTTAGAACCAGACAACATCCGAGAGCCGTTGTCACATTTCTTACCGGACGCTGTATTTTGTGGCACCATTCGTTGTGTTCTTCGCCATTGGGTGCTTATTTGGCAACTGAAACGTTCCTTCACGTCTCCTGTCTTCCGAGTGTGTCTCATCAGTGTGTGCTGTCTTGTTGTCAGAATTCTGAAGGAACCATCTTGCCCATCTGGCTTCTGTTGTAAGAGCTCCTAGTCTCTCCTTGCTGCCTCTTACCGTGAACCGTGTGTCCTCACCCTGTTGTGCTGCCGTGCTCGTGTAACCTGGATGCCCGTTTGAAGCCGTCTTGCCCTCACTTTGAAGCTGCATCTCTTTGAAGGGATTCTGTTTTCGCAACCCCCATCACAAAACTAAGATGTTGAGCTGTTGACATTTAATAACAAGCACAAGAAACCGTGAGCACAGTGTAGTTTTTGCCAGAGTAAATACACTCAATGAACGATTAAAGAAAAAAAACGCATGCGGTATCGATGGTTGAAATGCACGCTAACACTTTTGACCCCAAAGGAGCCTATTTCGTGGCGTTACGTTTGGAGAATTTGCTGTGCTGCTGCTGTTTGTGTGGACCGCTCGCAAGGCCATGGTGGGAGAAGACTGCTAATGCATCATGCGATGTGGCTCGTTGGGGGCGTGTAACAAAGCCCGCCCCCCCCCTTCCCCGGGAGGGCTGAATTGATGTGGCTGTCGTAAAGGTTGCCCTTAATTTTTTTGTTGTTGCATGTGTTCTTTCAGCTGAGGCCGAGACCGTAGAGAGCAAGGAACCAGTGCAAGATGCCGAAGACGAGAAGAACTAGGCCTTGCACCACCCAAACAAAACTCCCGCCCGCCATCCCAAACCCCCACTGCCGGGCCACCCTCCCACCCCAATCCCCCAGCCTCCCCTTCGGCCGCTCTCCTTGCTCCCCGACCCCTACCCCCCCCCAAGCCCCCTGTGCCCTGCCCCCCACACCCCAGCCAGGCAGCCGGTCAGAAAATTTCATTCACCAGAAAAAGGGGGGAGCAGTTTCAGTCAACCCCAGATTAGATTACATACTACATGAAATAAATGATGAGACCTTTTCAAAAAAAAAAACTTTGCTTTTTTTGTCCTGCGTTTAAGCTGTGGGTGGCTTTCTTTAGGTGGCTATTTCGTGTTGCGTCTGCATGCTTTAGGTGATGTGAGGTGGAAATAACAAGTTTGGCAGTGCCCGCTTACAGTAACACCAGTAAAAAATATTTTTTCGGTTTATTTTTAAAAAAATATCAGCCCGTTGACGTTCACATGCTTCCCCCGTGTCCCCCCCCTCCCTCCCGTTCACCATTGCACTAAAAATAGCTTTGGGATTTTGGGTTTCCTTATTCGTCAAACGCATTTCCATTGTCCACGCTGCTTTGATAATGAGCATTTAAAGCTTAGAATGGAATTACAGTAATTTGGAAAAGTGGAAAACTACTGCAGTTTATAGATTGCTCTTCTGCCGCTAGCCTTTGCAGTTTATTAAAGCAAGTCCCATCGGCCGCGGGGAAACGTGTGTGTGTGTGCAAAGCACACCGCATCCTGCCCCTCGTGGGCAGAAACCGGATTCGGCAGAAATGGACTGCAGTGGTTGGGTGCTGTTTGAAAAGGAAATCCTAACAATCCATTGGGTACCGGCGCACTGTGCTCCGAGCATTTAGCATTTGATCAGCGCATCGCACTGCATACTTTATTGGGCGCTATCGGCCTCTTGCTGACTGACCATAGTTCTTGCTTCTTCAGATCAAAACCAACACCGTGGGCCCCCTGACCAGTTTGTCACGTTGATGTGTGTTGTGCACAGGGTGTTATTGGCTAAAAATGTGAAAGTGAACAAATTAATGAAGTTTTAACGTCTTGATTTTTACATGCCACTGGAATTAGGTCTTGTTATTTTGACGATTGTGGGTGCCCAGTAAGAAATGTGTGGATGCGCCGACGTAATTTTAACAACCCTGTTTATTTTCTCCACCGAAAAAAATAGAGCCTAAAAGCAGAGTGGGGGAGGAAGCTGAATCTGACTGCATTGAGGTACCAGCTGTTTTGGTTTAAAAAAACATGACCAGGAGACTTTGCAGGAACGTTTGGTTCATCCACATTTTTTTCTGTTGGACCTTCATTATCCTGAATTGGGGCAATACGAGTTGACCCAAAATCCAGTATTGACGTCCCAGGAAATCCTACTAGGGAAGACAACCACTCGCTCGCTCACTCGAATTTGGGGAAGTTAAATTGTCTTAACGCGTAGCTCACTTCGGCTGCATCAAACGATATAAATTATAATTCAAAGAGGGTGTTTACATGTGCAAATGTTTGACGTACAGCTCAACTGCTACTGTTGGCTCTTGCTATTCAGAACGCTTTCTTCACCGTTTGATTCCTGGATGTATTTGCGAAAACGAAACTGTACTGGCTGCTGTCTTGGTTTGATGGGCAGAGGGAGTTGGATACAATGTCGTCGAGATCATGCTTAACTGTGCTGCTACGGCGGACGGAGTAACTTCTGTAGATCGTTATGAAAAAAGTGTGATCTTAGGTGTTCTTGTATTTCAATCTAATTTTGTTTTTGTTAAAGAAATACTTGACTTCATTAAGAAAAAAAATTAAAAGGCTGCACACACCCCTCCCTCCCCCCCCATGTGCTTAATTGTTTGAGTGTACTAATTGCGGCTTTGTAAAACTTTTTTAATTAACAAGTTTAGGGTGTTTTTTTTGTTATTGGCTACAAATGGTGACCCCCGCCCCCCGTGTTTGTGATTGAGTGCGTTGGCGTCCGGAGGAGGAGGAGCGGGTCCGATCGCAGTACACCCCGTGCGTAGCCACTGCACAGCATCATGGTTAGCCATCACAAGCCGATCCGATGTCTGTTTACTGGTGATGGAATTTAAAAAAACAAAAAACTAAATAAACCCAACTTACGTGGAGTATCTCGTCGTCCGGGTGTGTTTTTTGTCACTTGTCCACTGGTTTACCCGGTCATCTCAACGTTCAGAGACGTCCGTGTCATTCTCCATTACGTAATTTTCTCCCAGGATGATTGAGTACAGGGTGATCCGCAGCGCTGGGCAGAGGGATTTGTTTTTAATTTGAAATATGAATTACTGCAGGCATGGCCCTGGGTATATTTTCACAGGAGACTGATCAGCATTTAGATGAACCACTGGCATATTTAAGTATACTTAAAATTATCTTTCTGCCAATGTCATATTTTATCTTACCTGTTAACATAATTTTAGACCCGCATTTGATTTTATTGTGACCAAATCTAGACTGCATCTGAGCCTCGTACCTTAAAAGCCAAGCCCGGGCTTGAGCCTGGAAATTGTATCGGGGACCCAACAAGCCGGCAGCAGCAGATGACACAGCAGAAGCTATTCTGTACCTACCTACTAACCCCCAGCGTGGTGAAGTATGGTCAAACAAACCTCACTGCACGTTGTGGCGGGGGGTCGGGGGGGGGGGTCCCCCCTTATCCACCAGTGGATCGACGAACGGGCTGTCCATGTGCAACATGGTGTGTGTAGGACTGTTGCGCCACCGTCCAAACGTGTTTGCACATCGTGGTGCTTGAAGCGCTTGCCCGATAGGAAATTCCGTGACGTGGTTGCGTTGGGTGGCCAGCAGGTGCCGCTCGCGAGCAGATCCGGGCTCCGACGCGACTCGCAATGCTCGAGGAGCAGAGGTCGCAAACGGGTTTTGATTCCTTACCCGTACCCGGCCGCACCAGGGTCGCAAATGGTGACCCGTAACCGGCCGGGTACGGGTAGCCGTTCCCTACCCGAAATGAGTCACGAACGGCTACTCGCCAGTGACTCACGGCCTACCCGTACCTGGCCGCACCAGGGTCGCAAACGGGTACCGGGTATCGGGTAGGGTATCGGGTACCCGATTGCGACCTCTGTCGAGGAGAGCCAGGCGGTCCCTTTTCCTCAATGTAATCTGTTTAAAGGTTTTTATTTATTTTACCAGGTTAGGCTTCCCCTGAAGCTATATAGCTCTTTTTTTCAAGAATCGACCTGGCTTGCATAAATGATGGCTCAACGAAGTGGCTTATTGTGTGGACATGTATAGCATCCAAATACTCTCAACGCATGCTGATTGTAAATGTGGAGGGGAAAATACACGCGACCACGGAGAGAGAACACGCACACTCCATTTATACAGGCGTCAGGGTCGGTAACGAACCCACGACGACCTGTTATACCAGGCGAGGCCGTTAACGTCTCGCCACAGTGGTTACCCAATTAATGTAATCGATTATCAATTGAATTACTGGACGAATAACGCGAAACGAGTTTTGGGTTTAAAAAAAATTAACCCGTAAAAACAAAGTTTTTCACTATAAATCCTTTATATGCGTGGCGGCTCGAGTCCTCTCGTCCTCTGGCTTGAGATGGCTGCCACCTATGGGTCAGATGATTGAATGGCACCATTAAGCAATCGGTAATTAAATATAATATTTTTGTCCTAAAAAGTGTAACATTTTGGAAAAAAATTTTCACGAACATTAATTGTCACGCACAACGAGTCTGTATGGAAAATGTCAGCTCGATTGGATTACGGGAAGTGGGTTAAAAAACGACCGAAAGATTTGCACGGTCCTAAGCAAGCAAGCGAACTTAATATAAAGCATTTAAAAAATGTCATCGCTCTTGCTTTTTCCGCCGGACAGGCGGGGTGGAGGTGGGGGGGGGTCACCAGAGCGTACCTCCAGTGGAGGTGAATTCCAGCCTGGGGGTGGAGGGATGCCACACGAGGAACATGCCTGGTCACTCATCGTCATCGTACAGCGACCTGACCTCGGCACACGGAGCAGGTCACACTCGCAAGACCGATTTGCTCTTGTTGGAAAACATGGGACGCGAGGAGGAGGTGGTGGTGTGCATGTGATGTGTTTACCTTTCCTATACTTGGGGCTCCTCTTGTGTTTTTTGTATCGTAAGGTTCTGACCTGCCCCTTCCTGGACGTGTGAAAAGAGCTGTATAGCTGATCGGAATCTTCCAGTATAAATACATTCTGTGAGTGAGTGGCATTAATGGGTCTTGTGGGTGAGATTTGAACTCTGATCGAAACCTTCACCTCGAGACACGTCGAGTCTATTGATGCGCTTCTGCGGCCGTCTGGAACGCTCTTCCGATTTTAGCAAGGTATGGGATCGAGGCACTTTTAAATATACATTCAAAACCCATTTCTTCAGTACTGCTTTTTGAGTTTGGTTTGTTGTAGTTCTCTCGCAACTCCGAATAGCACGGTTGGCTATGTATGGTGTGAAAGAAGTTCAATATACATGCACGGTAGTTTGTGACTGCATCGTCGTCTGTCACTGGGTGGTGTTGCTTCTGGATAGAGGGGGGGTACCACAGTAGTTGGGCAGGATGTTTCGCTGGGAAAACTTTTGGTGTTTGAGTAATTGGACACAAAGTCGTTAAGTTTCAGTTACTAATTGAGGTTTTTTTTTACTTTTGAGAATTGGTGTCTCGTGACAGATGCTACCCATTGTAATTAAACGAGTGCATTAATAACCGTGAATTATATAAATTGCTTGTTTTAAGCGTTCTAACGCAAAAAAAATCCAGTGACGTGTACATTTTCAAGTGTTTTATAAGTATAATGGGTTTTGCATGTAACCCGTTTTTGTTAAATGTACCGGCAGATTTCATACTGTCATTCCACATGGCAATGGCGAAAAATCAACAACACTTGTCCATGCTGTGCTGATATGATGCTGTCAACTAGAATAAACCTCAATTCCGAACATCCCATGGTGGTTGTTGATGAACACCCGTCTCCCGTCTATTCCAGGTTCCTAGATTTAATGAACAGTTTGTGTCGACAAGCGTGGGACAGTGACACGGGATGGTACCAACGGACTGATGTGGACAATGAGCATTGGAGTCATTTGACGAGTGGAGTTGCTATCCCATCTGAGTAAACATGGTCCAACGTTCCATATTAACTGAAAGCGCAAAATGGTTAATGAGGACCGAGGAGTGATAACATAAGATGAAAATGCCGAGCAAAAATTTACATTTAAATTTAGATTTAAAGCTTTCGTGACTGCATGGATTCATATTCTTGGTTCTTTCGGTAAAGTCACGTAACGGGAAATAATAAAATAATAATAATAATAAATAAAACATAATAAGATAAAATTCTCACGACGTTTCGGCCACAACGCAAGCAGCCGTCCTTAGGTGAAGAACAGGGCTGTCGGAAAGACAGCGTCCTAATGACAGCCCTGTTCTTCACCTGAGGACGGCTGCTTGCGTTGTGGCCGAAACGTCGTGAGAATTGTATTTTATTATGTGTTATTATTTTATTATTTTCTTTCTACGTGACTTTACCGAAAGAACAAAAAAAACAACATACACACGCATAGCTGTGAAACCATAGGGAAAATATGATAAATCTGAGAACATTGCGAACAATGTGACCCAAGGTGGCATCAACAATAAGAGCATGACAGCAGTGAGGGAAAAAAGATTGGTAATTGCAAATGTTAGCCCGGAGCAAGGCGGTATAATAAGAATGATTGCTGCGCGGAGAAAGGCTTGTAAAACGACGGAGTGCTTTGAAAAACTAAACTTCTGCAACGGACCAAAAATGTGGCCCAAGGGTTTCAATCAAGAGCGAAGACACCCCACTTACCCGCTGTGTGACTCGTTCATTTCCACACACCGATCCACGCCGGCGAGCACGCAAAAGTCGACGCAATCTCACCGCTGCGTCGCGTTCGAGCGGAACGCTCAAGAAACCAAACGTTGTTGATGTCGTGAGCAGGGACACCGACAAATAATTCCCGGAACGAGAGAGCTGAACGAATAAAACGCGTGGAGAGACGGGCACGACGGGCATCGCAACCCAGAAACAACTGCAAGACGCGGATCAGGAGACCCGGCACATATCAAGATATCGCGCCCGAAGAGATGATGACCGCCACACAAAGCCGATGATCACAACAGCAACCACAGGATAACTTGCCATCGGGGCAAGTGGGTTCTCGACCGGGGTGGATACGCCGACCCTCTGGGGGTACACGTGGCAATGGCCCATTGCCACGTGGGGGGGGGGGGGGGGTACACGTGGCAATGTCCCAGGGGGGGGGGGGGTACGTAAGGGTCGGCCTCGGCCAGGTAAGGTAAAAGGTCAAAAGCAACGGGCCTACCTTTACCCTACCTTTTACCCTTACCCCATACAAATTACCCGATTACAGGGTAATTACTGGGGTACTACGACACATGAAAAAGGTTTATAACAGGTAGAGCGCTTTATTCATATAGAATACTCTCGATGATTCCAATTTTAAATTGAGGCCACGGACTGCGCCACGGAGGTTTTAGCGAGCGGTAAACGGGGTATTTACCGGGTAATACTTCGCGCTACCTTTACCCTACCCTTTACCTTACCTCTCGGCATGTGGACACCTTTACCTTTACCCTTTTACCCGGTAAAAAGGGTAAATTACCTGACCTTACCGAGGCCTACGAAAGGGGATTTACAAATGTGTGAAATTACGTCATACACGATGAGTCACTGGTGAATAATCGTGTGCGAATATGCCAATATAAAATAACTACGATCAACTTTGAATCCGTAACGGTATCCTTGGACGATGTAAAAGACCGCTCTAAAGACGTTCATCGTAAACAATGTTGGTTTCCAAGAGTAACCAGCGAGCGCGAACAACTTGCGTCGTGACAGCATGCAGAGTGTCCTCCGTTGGATTTTGTTTCATTCGCTTGCAGTCCCGAGCCAGTTCGGATACCTCACACAAAATGAACAATCGGTTAAAATATTGACGTCCATTAATTCACACATTTATTTCTCAAAACCGTGTTGGGTCAGGCAATCAGGCATGGGGGGGGGGGGGGGGGTATTATACTCAAGTTGGAGATGCCATGGGGGGGAGGGGGTTTTCATCCAGCAGTGGATAAACCATGGCCGTTCGATTATTTTAAGCACTTAAGTAGACTTACAATCTTGCCCGACACCCGCAAACTTGACTAACGTTCACATCATTAATGGTTTCGTCTTTGGCAATTGGTTATATACATGGAGGGGAGGGGGAGCGGTATGGCGAAGTGGTTATGAACCCGGCCAGCAGAGTTTCAATTCATGGCCGTGGCTAATCCCATTTGCCAAGTTCATAAAATTAACCAACGCTGACTGGCGCGGTGAAGTATGTAAAACAAAGACCGACACGGCACGTGGAAGCCGCATTCATCCAGCAGTGGACTGACAAAATGGGGCTGTAAATTATTAACCGGTTACACGTGGAGACAAATGGTATGGGATGCTCACCGTATTAATTCTAGATTTGAAGCTTTCGTGACTGCAAGGATTCATATTCTTAGGTTTTTTCGGTAAAGTCACGTAGGTAAAAATTAATAAAAGTATAATATAAAATAAAAATCACGACGTTTCAGAGGCAACACAAGCTTCCGTCTTCAGCTGTATCAAGTGATACAGCTATCGTGCTGTGACGGTTCCACCTGAAGACGGAAGCTTGTGTTGCCTCCGAAACGTCGTGATTTTTATTTTATATTTATTTTACTTTTATTAATTTTTCACCTACGTGACTTTACCGAAAAAAACCTAAGAATATGCTCACCGCACTCTGTTGAAATCGGACCAGCACTCACCACAGGGATTGAGAAAACGGAAGAGTGAATGGGCAATGATGCTGATGTGAATGTTCTTAGTGCTCTGACTGACCAGGGGCTATGATGTAGAGCGTAGAGGGACATGGAGCAGACAACACACTCTTGCACTGCACTAAGTTCCCACATCCATGCTCTACGCCTTCAGTCAACCCGCACTGATCGGAATACTGAAGTATGGTCAGCCAACCCCCACGACCCACGAGGAAGCCCTGCATCATCCAGCAGTCGGTTCGGACAAAAAGGGCCGCAAAATGCCACTCTCGACGAAGGCGGACGGAGCAAAACACCACCACGGCAACGGCAACAGTGATCAAGGACCGATTTTAATTTTCAAGTTTTAACGTTGCATTCCACCAGAAATAAATACAACACATGTTTGCTTTGTGAAAAATGACGATTTCGCAAGGCAACGAACGCGCTTGGCGCACAACGGGGCGCAGTCGTCCGGAGCCAAACGCATTGAAGATGTAGTCGGGAAGAAAGGGTGAACGTTGAGCAACGGGATAGAATCGCTTGGCAAGTTAAAGGTATTGTAAGCCTAGTATTGTAACGCGAGGGATGCCGACTGCCAGGTTAACACTCGGCGAACGCGAGATTACGACTCGTGAAAACAACGTGTTTTTGCGGAATAAACGAGTGCCAATCCGCACTTGCGTGCGGCACCAGCGCCTGGGTTTGAAGAACGTAAGACTCCGTGTGGCGATAAAATTATCACGCGAGCCGCGCTTTAAACGTGCGAGGGCAGACGCGCGAGACAGCTGTGCAAAATCAATCATTTAAATTCGCAGAGCGATTTAACCGCAGCGCGCATCTCAACACGCCGCACAGAAACAATTGGTGAATTTATTTCGCCGATAAATGCACAATGGATAGAGCGCGCAGTTCCAATCCTCGCACTTAACACCAGCCTCTTAATGTGCGGAACTTTGCGTCCGCTTGTCACCTCTTGATGTCGCACGCATTTCACAGCCTTGTCTTCGGGCTTTTCATTAATTGTATTTCTCATTTTGTGAAATAAAGAGTGTTCAAAGTTTCGTCGGACCAGAACATTGTTGAAATGGTTTAATTTGGGGATCGTACATTTGAAGCAAGTGTCTTCGGCATAAAACCGTTACAGACCGTCAGGAGTATTTATTCGTACTTTCTTTATTCGCAGCTGAACTGTGGCTCCCCGATGTGTTTTCAGGTTGAACTGCGTGCTGTTTGGCACGCTGCCTGTGGGGGTTTCACTCCACGTGCATTGGAAGCTTCTAAAAGAGATACAGCCTAAACAATAAAATAACATCAGAGCCACCATTTCCTCAGTCGTGAGAAAGATCGCATTGCCGTACTCAGGTAACACAATCCAAGTTGTTCCGCCGCACGTTTTGCAATCCAACATCCAGAAGGCGGGTCAGTCTGGCAGGGCAAACAAACTCGTCTAGCCACTTGGCACCGATCTGAGTAACCAGGACGGCGTAGTTATTCACACACAGCCAACTCATCTGTTGAATTTTCAGCACGAAAAATAACCAGGAGGGGGATCCCCCACACAGGTAGGTATGAAGCAGCTTTTATCTTGCTGTGGTTGTCCCACCTGACGACGATTGCTTGTGTTGTGATCGAAACGTCGTGATCTATTATTGTTCTACCTACGTGACTTTACCGAAAGAACCAAAGAGTACGGATTCCTGCAGTCACGAAAGCTTGAAATCAAGTATGAAGAACTAATTTTCTCCACTGTCAGGGCTAACCTGAACTCCCCTAGCAAAGGAAACGTGCCCACCGATACCCTTTTTCCACTGGCACTTGGGAGCCGAGCCAGCGTGGTGGGAGGGGGGTGGGGAGGCCCTCACGGTGTGGGCACTTTTCCACTGAATATTTGCCGTGCCGAGACAAAAACCACACCGCGATTCGCTCGGTCCCAAAAGACGTGTGTGAATCTGGTTCGGGGCCAGTCAGGGCCGGAGGGTGCGGCTAACGACGGGTTCATTGCATCATCGTGTTGCATCACCACATCATCTGCTTGAGTCTCGATACCGTACCTGTCAACCCTATACGGGTTTACCCATCTTCTTGTTTAGGGAAATGGAGTAAAACATTTTTTGGCTGTTTGTTTTTGTTTCTCCCTTGTGATGGGACTTTGTAGGATGAACGTTGAGAATTATAAGGACACAGGATGACCAATAAAGCCTGCATTGATCTGTAATACGGTCGGGACTGATAAGGGGTTGACGTTCACTGCGTGTGACGTCGCCGGCACAGCTTGGCTTCTGCAGTTGGGAACAGCCCCAGCTGGTGCAGCTCGGTTGTGCAGTGGAGCAGCGCTATCCGAGTTATTGTACGCCAATTAGTTGTGGGGGGGAAAAACTTTTCCTTTTTTTTAACAGAGCAGATGGAAGCTATTTCGCCTTCGCAGTGTAAAGTATTTACAGCTCTTCACATGTATTTTTTGTTGTTTTTATAAACTATACTTTATAGTTTTAAAAGCAAGCCCAATACGAGTCTCCAAAATTAGTGTTACTATATTCTGCAAGCGTAACCTGCACAGCTCAGCGTTTTAATGATGAGAATATTAGGCTCTACTTTTTTATGAGTTCGGTCTCAACCACGTCACGATACCGTTCACAGTTTACAGTCTTCTGCCCAGCAAGCATTGCAACTCCCTAACCGATGTCTACCTTTAACAAGACGAATGCCACCCAATGTTATGCAAAGCATAAATTGCCTCGGATTAACATTAAGTATTTGTCCAACGAAAATACCTTCTAAATAATAATCAACAAGCGGAAATCAAGGAGGCTGATAAATCACTATTGTTTACTATAAAATAGAGGTCTTTATTAACCATTGATAAATCGCAGCCCTCTTTAGCGGGTGATGAAAACACTCATGCTAATGGATATTTAATTAGGACTATTATTACTGTATTTAGCGAACAAGACTCTCCGTTCTAATGTGTTGAATTCCAAGGCCGGAGAAGGCCTACACACTGATCCATTAAAGGATTTTCAAACATTCTACAACCAGCATTGCCACCTGCCCTGGTTTTCCCAGGATCGTCCTCTTGTAGAGGTAGCTGCTGTCCTGGAATCTCCCGAGTCTTTTAGGGGGACGTTAAAAGGAATTTTTTTTGTCAGTCGGTTAATAATAAACCACTCAAGACAATGTATTAAGTATTCCTTCCCTCTTCTGGTATCGTGAGATATTCTTCTCATGATGTGTCCTGGATTCTTTTTGTACCTCGGAGGTGGAAACCGTAGATCTAAACCAGGACACAGGCATTGATGTCACAAATGTCATGTCCAGCGCTGGGGCATTTCAAGAGCTGCTCGAACAGCTGTTTCAGGGCCACATGATGTAACAAGTCTACAGACGAACGGTTGGTCAGGCTACGTTCAAATGCCTGCACTGGAGTTGCTACGCGTGTCCCACTACGTTCCAACTGCCGAAGAAAGAATATTCCACTCTACGTTCAATTCGCCGAAATAAAGAACGGCTACAAACCACGGTGGGGCAGCCGTTTACAATCACCGTGGAGAAAGCAGACACGACGGTTTAACGCGGGGGTGAAACATTTTTGAATGTCGGAGTAACTGTCGTCATCATTGATTTCGCGCATGAATTACCGCGGCTGTTATCCCATAAATAATGATATCATCCGGTGCAGACCCATGGTGCTTGTTGATGCCTCTAGTGTCGGAGATATAAATGCACTCCTCAAGCCTAAAAGCCTGGCAAGTAAGCCCTTTCAGTCGGACTTCCCCATCACCAAGGTTTTTTCTTTTTCGACATCTACCTTTTCCAGTTTTAGAAGGACCTTGCGTTTTCTGGCAAGCCACTCGGCATACACGTCGCGTTTAAAAGACATTTGAAATTTACACGGGAATTGGTTCGGAGCCTTGGAAAAACAGCTTTCTACAAAAGCTGCTTCTTTACATAAATGTTCCACGTCATCATTAATGGCAGTGTTCAGGTTTCTTTACTTTTTACTCAATTCCTTTACTCTCCCACCGTGGCCACCGGGGGGGACCAGCCTTCCCCCCTGCCTCACTTACCACTAAACCGTTCCATCGCGATGTTTGTTACAGGGAGCTGCGTGTGGCCTGGGGCGTGGGCGACGAGCGGGACGAGTCGGTCGGAGAGACGCTCTCGATTGCGAGTCGGCAGGAGTAGCGGGCCGGCGGGACAGCGGTGTTTGGCGCGATGGCGGGTTTTGGCAGGAGAGAGCGTCGGGCGAGGGATGGGCGATCATTTTTCCTTTTGCTCCAGGGTGTGACGCTGCTGCACACGCTTGGCGTAGCTCTGCGCCATCGAGTTCACGATGGACAGCACGAAGTAGCACACCATCACGATGATCACCTTCTCGAAGACCCACGACAGCCAGCTATCACCCTGTGACGTGACACCCAACAAGAACAAGGGGGCGGGAAGGTAGGGGAGTGGGGTAAGCGCACAGCTCTCCGATGCGGTTTTCTGGCTGCGCCGCGTTGTGTCGTTCGGCAACGATGTCCGACGTTTCGGTCAGCGTGCATGGCAGCACAACCGCGGAAGCCGGCGCACTAGGTATAGCACTGCGGTTCGCCATGCAACGACCTCGACGCAAACACAAGTGAACAAGATTTTGTTGCGCTACTGCTTTGGCAGTGGTGCACAAGCAATAAAAACACAACACGTCCCTCAAGAACACTGCCCGAAAGAGCAGAAAATATACAGCAGACCACATGTCAGGCAATGGCCCTTCTTCAGAGCAGGGCCCCAGTCCGAAACGTTGCCCATTATATAATTAGCTCCTCAGTAGGACACTGTTTTTGCGCAGTTTTAGCCTTAATAGGTGCTCGCTAAAAGCACTTGCCCCAAGTCTATAAAACTATCCACGGGCGATATTTATATTTTTTACTTTGCAGTTGTTAGGGCAGTGCACTATCATACCGGCGACCTGGGTCTAATTCCCAGCCATGGATAATATCGGTGGCAAGTAGTATCCGAGTCAGTTCTGGAAACTTCCCGAGATAAATAAAAAAAATTGAGTGGCAAAGCCAGCCGAGGATGGTGTTGGCCAGCCAGCCACACCACCACCCAGTCTGCCACGCCAGCCTGAACAGGTGCTCGCTAACAGCAATTGCCCCTGCAAGTTTTGTACGGCTAAAACAGGGGGATCTTTAGCGTTGCGTTACCGGGGAGGAGGCGGCGCCGGGCTTGTGGTGCAGCTTGAGTCGTTGGGCCTCGAGGTAATCGCGGAACGGCTTCTGCAGCATCGGCCCCACCGACGGGACGGAGCTGCGACGGAAGGGGGGGGGGGAGAGAACAAGGGCAGGGGAGAGCGCGCTCAGAAAAAAAGACAACACTGGAACTGTTCTTCCAAGATTCGGGTGGACGCTTCATACCATGGCTTGATTTTTCCACCGAATATTATATGGGTCACATGTCAACTGGAGTTGGTGGTGGCATGTGACTGGTAGCCACAGCTATTGTGATAGGTATACTGGACGAAGTGTGGTCGATTTGGCCGATTTTCTACTGGGGTTCGGGACATCAGTGGGCATGGCTAAGCGGCTTCTTGAGTGGGGGAAAAAAACAACAACCCGGCACCTCTGGAGCCATGCCAGTCTGGCACAGCGTGGCACCGCTGTGGCTCGGTTGTACAGTGGAAAAGAGGTGTATAAAGACAACCCCAGGAGGACCTACCCGATCAGACCCACGATCTGCTCCACTATGTGCTTGCTGAAGCAGATGATCACAAAGAGTTTCTGTAAAACACACGAAAGAAAAGGCAAGGAGCGTCGGTTAAACATCCACGAGGAAACCGGCAGATCCCAAAGCCACTGTCCACCTGGGTTCGAATCCAGCCAACCGCCTGCGAATGAACCGAGTTCTCAAGTGTAGGGAGTTTATGATCTCACCATTGCCAACCGATGACTGTACACAAAACACCGTCACTTTAAATTCGGTTTAACACGTAGGCTTTCGCGACCAATATCATGACACAAGATTGTCAGACAGTCATTGGTGAGCGGGCTGAGACCATCAACCCACTACAATTGAGAACCCAGTTTTTTAAATCACGGGTGGGCTGCCTGGTTTCGATCCCAGGATCTCAGCTGTGCCGGCTCAGCCCCACACGACCACCTCACCTGTATGTGCATCTTGACGATGGCCTTGCCGATGAGCGTTGCTCCAAAGAACGTCCAGAAGGGGACCAGAAAGTGGCCGCACGTGATGCCCGCCAGGTCGAACAGCGGGTTGGGAATCTGCACCGGGCAGGGACAGGGAAAAACAAACATTCTAATTACAAATCACCGGAGTCGTGTGACTTGTGCACAAATTACCGATGTAACCGTCTCTCTCGTGAGTGAGGTGCTGGGTACATTGTGAGACTGTGACGAGGGCACGGATCGGAGGAGCTGGGCGGGACCGTACCGAGGCGCATGCCAGGATGCCAAAGAATCCGACACGCTGCACCAGGTGCTGCATGGCCAGTTTGGCTCTCGTGCCCAGGTCCTGCACATAGCACACGGACATACATATAAGACAAAGATCATCATCATCATCCTCTTTGGTTCTCTCGGTAAAGTCACGTGGGTATACAATCAGATAAATCACGACGTTTCGATTGCAACACAAGCAATCATCATGCTGTGGTTTTCCCACCTGATGATGATTGCTTGTGTTGAAAATCGAAACGTCGTGATTTATTTTATTTTATACCCACGTGACTTTACCGAAAGAACCAAAGAGTGTGGATTCCTGCAGTCACGAAAGCTTCAAATCTAGATCATCATCATCATGATGATCATCATCATCACATATGATCGATTCACTATTGGATGAAGGTCTCCCCCAAGTCATTGTCATCTCTCATGGTCCTGCAATGCAACAATAAACTTAGCTCCTGCATTTCGTTGCGGTAGGCGTTGTCTAGTAAGCAATTTTTTTTTACCAGGTAAGGCCCACTGACCGATCTCGCTCTTTTTCAGAAGCGACCGGCCTTAATGATAGCTCAATGAAGTAGCATGTGTAAATTTATTGCGGTCAAATAGTCGAAACGCATGTTTTAAATGTAGAGGGAAAAACCAGAGGACCCTGGTAAAAATCCACGCGACCACAGGGAGAACATGCAAACTCCAAATATTACAGGTGCCAAGGTCGGGATGTGAGGTACAGTAAAACCTTGGATTGCGAGCATAATTCGCTCCGGAAACGTGTTTGTAATCCAAAGCACTCGTACATCAAAGCACCCGTATATCAATTGTGATCACGTGACACTCGGCAGACAAAGCGTATACACGTACTACTCGTATTGCAAGACCTCGCTCGTTTATCAAAAAAAATATTTACTTACATTTTTTGCTCGTCTTGCAAAACACTCACAGACCAAGTTACTCGCAATCCCAAGGTTTTATTGTAATTAACATCTCGCCACCGCGTCCCTTGGCTACCAATAGGCCGCCGCTCCGGTCTTATTCTTCACCACCGACCATCTTCTCATCCCGCGACGTGTCCTGCCCAAGCCTCACTTACTTTCATGAACAATTAGAATGACGTGTTCTAAACCGGCTCTACGTCGTCTAATCCCGGCGAGCAAGTGCCGTTAGCGAGCACCAACGTGGGTGTTAAGTATCCACTTGCCAAGGATCATCTGTGTCCATCAGTCGGTTTAGTTTGGGATAGGCCCATTGAGCTAAGAAGCCGTTGTTCAAAGGTGACCCGGTATGTATGCGTGGGTGCATACATTCGTGTTGTCGTAGTCATAATAATAATGATTCCCTGAGGCAGTATCATAACAGTGAGTGCACTGCTCAATTCTTTTTTTGCCACCCAAGTTTGATTGCCTGCGATGGCTCAAACCAACGACGACACATATTTCAACCGTCTCATGTGTGTGTTGACGTGCATGTGTTGGAAGCGATAGTGTCATGGTCAGCGCCCTGCGCTACGAATCTGGTCACCTGACGTTCGATTTCCGCTCACAGCCAATATCAGCGACAGATATCTGAACCTGTCCGGAATCTCCCCTAGGTTAACTCAGCCTTAAATGAATACGTGGTGGGCAGTGGGTAAATATCACCACTTGGGGAGACAAACACGGCAAGATAAGCTGCTAGACACACCTACCCATCGTGCACTGTTGCCAGCCTTCATTAGGTACTCACTCACAGCATTTGTCCCAAGAGTGTCTTCAGGCTATCGAGGGAGATCTTTGCCCTTTGTGCATGCAAGTATACGTGCGTGTATGGGCATATGCGTTGTACACGCTAGAGAAGAGATGGACTGATGTGGTACAGAAGGATGATGCGGAGCTGATTGGACGTACCGATAACCCTGCATTGTCTAGATAGGCCTCTGTGGAGGATGTTCGTGAAAGACACTACTGTGCAGTTGGAGGCAGTCGCCCTCCAATATCTACGGAGGGCAGAGGAGCAACGCTCACAAGAACGAGCGGAGCATCAAGCGGCTATTACCAAGTCAGTTAACCTAAGGAACCTGCATCTGTCCTGTGACCTACTAGCGAGCCTTGGAAACTTTACGTGGTCTCAAGGTGCGTCTAGTCTGGCACAAGCGGCGTGATGACATCACTGCCACTTAGTGACAAACGGCAATTGTTGTTGTTCTTGTTCTCGTTGCGTATACGTGTGCACGCGTGTGTGCACGTGTGCGGACCTGTTGCGAGTCCTGCGCGTGCTCCAGGATCTCCTCAAACTCCTGGTACTCCTCGTCATCCGGCTCGGACCCAGACAACCGCGCCGCCCGCGCCATGAAGTACGGCGGCAACTCCCCGATAGCCGTGCCAGCGCCCTGTAGCCATGCACGGCCGTAACGCGCGCGTGGGTTAGCGCGTGTGCACGCCGTGAGGAGCTATAGCGTGCGAGGTGCGGCCGCAACGAGAAAAAATAAAACTTCTTAGTGCAACAACGGCGGTGCAGTTTTGCTCGGCAGACTGCTCAACACGCGCTATGGTCACGGGCAATGGTATCCCATTATTTTAACACATTTCATCATCAGCAGCAGCCATGATTTATACACAAAATAAAATCAATGTAATCAATGAGGTTTGCAGTTCGAGCCCGGAGGCCGTCCTGGTTAATACTTCGGGTTCATTAATGACGTCATTCGTCATAGGGCAGACCATGTGTGCTGGTGGATTCAATTATCCAAATTCGATACTTGCAAAATTACTTAATTGAGATAAACCACAAAGCGATACGGCCCCCTAATACGTATTTTCAAGGCAGGTGCTGCGTACACCTTGCGCCGCACAGAGACAGCTGCCACTCGGGGCCCCATTTGGTGCAACTGCAGCAGGGCGCATGAAATGGTTGAGATGAGACATGATGTTAAGTTGTTTCGATGATGGCTTTCGGGCTGTTGGTGCGAGCCATACCCACATGCAGGCCTCCAGCCTGACTTTGGACATGATGGTCCAGATAGAGATGGGCACGTTGAGTCCATCGCTTTCTGGGCAAATGATCTCGTCGGGGTACGGAGGCGCGGGGAAGTCCACCGAGTCGCACTCGTACGCCGACAGCGTCACTGACGCGATGTGGGGGCCCTGGCAGGAGGGGGGGGGTGCGGAGGCGGGGAGCGGATTGCGTGAATAAAAACTCAACAACCAGGTTAGACGCCAGCGAGAAGCGTTCAGCGGCATCTTGCAACCGGCAGCCAGCAAGCCATGTTTGGCCTGGCGAATAATGCTCTTGGCAGTTGCCTTGCGAGAGATACGGCCAGCCGAGACAGAGAGATCCAGATTATAGGGAGATGAAAGAGAGAAGGAAATAAGCGGCAGAGAAAAGCGGAGCTGTAAACAAGGGATACAAATCATTGAGATCAAAGTGAGATAAAGCAGAGAGAGAGATGAGAGAGAGTTGGCCGTAATTCTCAGGCGTCTTTAAGAACTGTGCGGACGACACGATTTAGGCAAGTGGATGTGGAGATGGTGATGGGACATCGCTAGGGACCCCTCACCAGGTAAAGCAGGAAGGTGTGCAGCCCCGTGCCCAGCCCGACCGACGATAAGATGCCCAGGCCGACCCAGTAGGCACACCACAGGATCTTCTTCTCTGTGCTCCGTACGAACTGTGAGCACGTCCCACATAACACGGCACATGAGTGAGCACTCTTCATACCACACGGCGCACGCATCCGCTTGGCGCTAAACACGGCATAGTATGCAAACGGTTAACACAACATAGTACGCACAAAAGTAACACGACACAACACATGCATACGTTTGTAAAAGTAACGGCAGCTAGAAAACAGTGAGAGACTGTTGGCCGACAACAATTACTAAGAAACTGCATTGCACAATTAGAAAATACACGAGGGTTTTCGAAATCGGTCCACAAACCTGGCACAAGGTGATCCTCACGCATGGACCGTTCCGCAACTTATTATGATGGCATGTCATTTGTTAAGGCCGAGATGCCACTAAACATGTTTTAGGGCAATTATTTCCGTCAATGCATTTGAAATGAGCCACTACGCCAACTTGGTATAAAGTTTTGTAGCCCAGGGTTCGGCAAACAAAATAACACAAATAACCATTTAACTAAATATTTCAAGAGCCGCAATGTATGTGAATGCGAGGCGGTTCTCAATAAATAACGTCTCTAAGCAGTCCTTTTATGAGCCACATGCAGTTCTGGAGCTGCAGGTTGCTGACGCCCAGAATAGCCAATGAAAGCAGTTTTTTGGATGAACAATGATTGGTCTACAGAGCACAGAGCCTCTGCCTGGTAGTGTTGTGACATCGGTTTGTCATCTCATTGGAAGGCAACCACCTCCGGTTGCCCACTAGGGGGATGCGCGATGAGATTTACCCAGATGTGGTAAAATCAACAGCGCCTATTGACAGTAGAGCAACTGCTGATGGGTGAAGATTTCTGGAGACGATTGTCATACAATTGCCAGAAAGAACATCAATGCTCCTTTGACATGCTCCGGTGGATGCGGGGCAACCTCACCTCCTGGTGCTCCCCCTCGGCATAGTAAGCAGCAGTAAGAGCAGCGAGCATCAGCAGGAAGAGCGTTACAACACCTCTCCGTGCCCACAGCCTGCCACACCACGCACACACAAAGACAAAGACGCCCCCCCCACACACCCGCATAGCTTGTAACGGACTATTTGGGAAAGTTCCGTTAGCGAGCACCTATGAAGGCCAGCACGGCACAAGAGAGGATGGGTGGCCAGGAGCACGCATCTACAATGTACTAGGTACGCATTTAAGGGCGAGTCGACCTAGGCGAGGCCCAGGATCAGCACAAATATTTGCCACTGCTATTGGGCGTGAGCGGGATTTGAACTTGGCTTGCCGGGCCGAAAGTGCGGTGAACGTCAATGGAAAGTGATATTTAAACTGGTCCTGGGCACCCCCACCCGAAACATCTCCAACTACCAAAATTGCATGGGGAGACCTACATCCAGCAGTGGATTGACAAAGGGATATAAATAATGTGCGAGTTTTTTGTTATTTCAATAATAATTAATTTGAACGATGTAGCGAATCGAAGTTTATTTTAAGGGCAAATCATTGCAAGCATTGGAATGATGTTTAGGCCACGGATCGTTACATCCTGAGCTGCAACCACTCATCACCAACGCCGCTACCACGACCACCACCACCAAACAAGAGGCAAGATCGCAGGGGAAAAAAGATCACACGTCAGTGGGGGTGGTGGTGCTGCTCACCGACTGGCCCACTTGCACGTCTCCAGACCGCACTCGAGTAGGAAGTATTTCATGGTTGTGAACGGCCGCCTCCACAGCACCAGCCCGTCCCGCTCCTTGCGATCGCGCGTGCGCTGCGCCTGCATCGCGCGTTGCTCGGCCACTGCGTACGCAGACACCGCCCAAGATGCTCCAAGTCAGCTTCAGTGTTTTAACCCCATGGGGGGGGAGGGGTGGGTTGATTGATCCCAAAAAAAATCTCTGCTGGGTTGCCAACAACTAATTGTGGGCTCCCTGCTGGGTTTCTGATGATTGTGAGATGATGGCATTTTGGACATCAGAATCAGAATATTCATTTATACTGGAGGAATCCGATGAGCAATAAAGCTCCTTTTCACAGATGTCCAATAGGGGCAGGTCAGAAAGTTACAACAAATTATACAAAAACACGATAGGAGCGCAAATTACAGGCAAGTAACTTTAAGATATGTATCCAAATAAAACGAAACTATTTTTTTTGTAATTAGGCAAGGTCCACTGAACCATTAGCTTCTATTTCAGAAGCGACCTGGCCACAAAAGAGAGCTCAACGAAGTGACTTATCACGTGAAAATCAACAGCATAAAAATAATCTAGACGCATGTTTTTAAATGTGGAGTGAAAACCAGAGGACCGATGACTGACACCAGCGTTGTGTAGATCGGCCTCTGTGGAGGAGATTTGCAAAGGATGCTACTGGGCAGAGGTCGCAAACGGGTTTTGATTCCTTACCCGTACCCGGCCGCACCAGGGTCGCAAACGGGTACCCGTACCCTACCCGATACCCGGCTACCCGTACCCGGCCGGGTATCGGGTAGGGTACGGGTACCCGATTGCGATCTCTGGGATGAAGCCATGTTGCAGGCGCGGGTGGGTTGATTCTAGGAACTTGATATTGTGAGAAGAGACAAGACGTTGGGAAATGAGTGACAAACGATTACTCACCAGTGACTCACGGCCTACCATTACCCGTACCCAGCCGCACCAGGGTCGCAAACGGGTACCCGTACCCAGTCGGGTACGGGTAGCCGGGTATCGGGTAGGGTACAGGTATCGGGTACCCGATTGCAACCTCTGCTACTGGGCAGTCGGAGGCAATCGCCTTCCAATGACAGCAGAGGGCAGAGGAGTGATGCTCACAGAGTGTAAAGATGAAAGTTAAGACCACGGAGGACGTGACCCATGCGAGCGAGTGATGGAGCGAGGAGCACCTGCGGAAAAGCCGTTACGAGATTGCGACGTTCCAGAGAGCGTCCTTCTCCTCTGGGTTTCACCGGCACCTCCACCCGACGCCATCTTCGCAATCTCTCGAAGGTGAGCTGGGACAACCCGCGCTCAAGAGTCTCTTCCCTGCGACAGACACGGCACACGAAGGATGTAGCTATTTAAAACAAAATGCCCACTTGTAATTTGGCCGCGCAACTTGCTTTGCGCCAAACCACAGATTCTGGTAGGGCTGCGTGTGTAGGCACAAAGTCCGCAATGGCGTGGTGAGGTTCATGGTGCTAACCCACAAACCAAAGTGCAGTGCTGTCACCGGTCACGCAGCGTGTGTGGTGTGCGTGTGGAGGATTTCACTTTGCAAGCACATTTGTTATCCACACTATTAAAATATAACAGTCCTCCGTGTGTTAATTATTGTTTCACAATCACGGCTGCATGAGCTCTTACAAAAACCATGTGCAGTTTATACAAGCGTGCTTACACGTACAGCAAGGTTTGATGCTCTGATGCATGAGGGTCTCCCCAAACCGTGCAAGTTATGGAGGTTATTTTCACGATACATTATTACACTGGTCAGTGTGGGTTGGTGAAAACAGGGAGCATAGAGTAGAATATATGAGTGTGTTAAACTGCCCATCACATAAAGTGATAGCAGCCCATTACGTGCTGTGCACGATGGTCCCCGTCAAAGCACTATCCAGGCTCAAATCTGCTTAGCTCCCAAATATCTGATGGAAGCAGGCACATTGTAGCTGATTTGGTCCAGACTATACGTGAATGGATCTGCACATAAATACATTAACATTCACCGAGCAACTGCGCAACAGTGTATTGGGTAAATGAGTGGCTTATGACCGTGTGAAATGGGGAAAAGGATAGTTTAAGACTGTATGTGAGCACAGTGTGTCGAAAGGTTGGCGACTTTTTGAAAAGAGGTAGAACTCGTTTAAAAGGAAAACATCCATCAAGCTCAACGGCACAAAGCCTTTTCACTCAACTTGTTATATAACCGGCCTACGCATACCAGGATCGGCCCTTCGACACACAAAGTGAAACTGGACAGTTCCGCCACTAGCCAAGACACGCCGAGTGGACGGAAGTGTGGCGGTCGCACATAACTCCCTCGGGCTATAAGGAGGCCACCATACCAGAAAAAGCTCTACCCCTAAAGTTGGCACAGTGTTCACTCTTCAAGCAAATTAGAGTCCAGAGTAACAGGAGCTCCCCACCTCACATGACAGTTCCGTTCCCAGATTAACTCTCACTTGCCGATCAGCTGACCAGAAACACCCAAAAGTTTCACAACATCCCAAAATGGGGGCTCCCTAACGCTCTCAACTATCCCACTCGTATAATTACGGTACAATGCCCGTATTGAAACATTCTTTGTACAGTGGTGCTGTAGCACAGCTTCCTATGTTTGGGAGATATAATCTGCCCAAAATTTGTATGACCTTTTAAAATAATTTTGAGTATAATAATATGCGGAAGGTGATTTATAGACAGCAAAAGACAATCAATTGATTGTTTCTCCCAAAACGCCTGACCATGATGCACTTTTTTGTTTGAGGAGTTTGTCACCATTTACAGAAAGTATTAGAATGGGTTAACTTTCAATCACTTTGTCTTCCTGTCAACGGAACAGTGCTTGTTTCTTGAGTGAGTTGACATGGGTTCAAATCGTTGTGCCAGCCAATAACCACCTACAGCAAGTTACAAAAGTGCGCGTTCTGTTGTGAAGACGATGTTAGAAGATCCTGCGACATCCCTTTTCTAAACCACAGCCAAAATATCACAAATAAAAAAAAAACCCGTAATAATTGTAACTATACAACCATGGTTACAGAGGTCCTACTTGTTCGAAAAGTAATGATTCTAGCGAACATGTTTCAATTTTCCCAGATCAATAGTCGGTACAGCAATGATGACAAGGAGATGTCATCGAAGCGGCATCAACACTTAAAAAGCGCAGATGTGACCCCTCCAGCTGTGTTCCTCAGCCTCCTTGGCACTCGAGACAAGAGCTCTACCACAACCACATCCGCATTATAACTTCGCCGATTCAAGCCTTCCCGTCTCATCTCACCGCAGCAACCAAGTCTGGTTCACCCCAGGAAACTGGCCTCCTCCTTGATTGGAGTCAACTGTGGGATGGAATTGAGGAGAAAACAGCAGCTCCCAGGGTCCTTCGGCCAGACCTGGGGTCAATTACAATGGTAGTTGTGTTATTCATAATGAATTGCAATCACGGTCTAATTTGTATTTCATCTCACAAAGCTGTTGCGTTTGCAATTACGAAAATTAACCCACGTCTGACACAAGCGTGAAGAAAAAGCTTGGAGTCACCACCAGTGAATGTCAGTATCAGTCTATCTGGGGCTCCACTAGCCCAGAGAGAACAACTAAGCTGGTTGAACTCTTGATTGTAGATTAACTCAAGAGCCCATTGCCCTACCAGCTGCAGGTAAATCGCCTGAATGTGTCTGACCTTGTTAAATGTCAGAAACTAAAGAGGGTTGAGCCTGGCTATTGCTTAGGATGGGAGACTAACTGGGAAGACCAGGTGTAGATTTGGGCTGTCAAGTGACCAGAAGCTGGCAGGAGATCAATGGATTGTTGAATCTATTTGTGCAGATCCTAGAGCGTTATCTCCTCGTATGTGTTTCTTTTTCACACTCGTTAAGTTGAACCGGTTAAACATCCGAGTGGAAGACCCTCCTGAAAACAAGTCTTCAAACTCAGTTGGGGCTCTCCTGATAATTTTACTGAAAAGATTTCGGGGAACCACTATCTCGGAGCAATCACTTGCCATTGTGAATAAACCAAATGAACTGTCAGAACAACAGCCTTGATGAGCTCCCATAATCGCCCACCAGGTAAATCCCACAGGTGTATTCCTTAGGATTCCAATTAAGCAAATTCAGAATATTAATTTGTACCGGAGTCATCGGGATGAGTTTTAAAGCTGCTTTTCACAAACGTCCAGTAGGGGGTGTCTGACAAGAGGTTTGACACTTCGTTTGAGACAAAAAAAGAGAGATAACATTTCATCAATAGTCATGATCAATCCACTGCTGAATGGGTCGTTCCCAAGCCATCGACATCCCAAAATCAGCACAGATGTCACCGCTCCAAATCCACCGTCGACGTCTCCAATTGGACGCGCGCAGTCCCCTTTGGCTGTCGCGGTGCCACAATTCCTGACGACCGGCTATTAGGCATAGCCTGTGCCGTTCAAGCCGACTTTCCTCATGCGTTTGAATGAATAAACTTAACCTTTTTATACAGATATATATTTTTTCTAATTCACGAGTTAAGTCTTCCCCGTCTCATACATTCATTTACAGAGCAGTCGTGGACCGTATCCCTGGAATTACAAAACGCTCCGGCGAGCAGAATGCACGAGCGTAGTCACACGCGCTCATACACCCACCGAATACTAAGACTTACCCCGTGACAACTTTAAAACACGGTGAGAACAAGCGCATCGTACAATCCGGAGAGAGACGGTAACATCATCACATCAAGTCACCGCGTGCCCACCGCAGCGGCCACATCGACGGGGTTATTGAGAGACAGACTCGTCTCATACTCACTCGGTTGCTCTCTCTCTCTCTCCTCGCTCTTGTCTGCTGTACAAAGGAAGATGTCAAAGGAGACAAGGGAGGTGAGGAGGTGAGGGAGGGAGGCGGGTTTAGAGGAAGAAGCGAGGAGGTTTCCACGGCCACCACTCCGCTCGGAGTATCCCCGGCTCCGCGTCCACCCCCCCAGCCGGTTTTGCCGGAAGTGGCGTAACCGGAAACGAAGCTGGCGCGAGCGTGGAACCTAACCGGACGTGACGTAGGAGGGACGACGAGGTGAGCCGCCGGACGTGGCGGGAAATATTTGGGGGAGGGGGTGCAGACGAAGGGGTGTGTGGGGTGGGGGGGTTGTGGGGGGAGGGGTTGAGGGGTGAGCGGACGTGACGTAACGATGAGAGTCGTCGAATCTGGCGGGAAATGTCTGGAGGCACACGAGGGGTGCGGGGAGGGAGGGGTTGTGGGGAGTGGAGGGAGGGGTTGTGGGGAGTGGGGGAGGGGTGGTGGGGAGTGGGGGAGTGGGGGGAGGGGTTGTGGGGAGTGGGGGAGTGGGGGAGGGGTTGTGGGGAGTGGTTGTGGGAGTGGGGAGGTGGGGGAGGGGTTGTGAGTGGAGTGGAGGGGAGGGGTGTGGGGAGTGGGGGAGTGGGGAGGGGTTGTGGGATTGGAGGTTATGGAGGGAGTTGTGGGGGAGTGGGGGTTGGGGGGAGGGGTTGGTGGGGCGTGGGAGGAGTGGGGGGGAGGGTTTGTGGGGAGTGGGGGATGGGGGAGGGGTTTTGGTGGATGTGGAGGGATGGTTGTGGGGAGTGGGTGCGTGGGGGGAGAAGAGGGGTTGTGGGTGAAGTGGAGGTAGTGGGGGGAGGGGTGTGGGGAGTTGGGGGGTGGGGGAGGGGTTGTGGGGAAGTGGGGGGGGGTTGTGGGGAATGTGGGTGAATACCCATGTAGGGAGTGGGGAGGGGTTTTGGGGAGTGGGGGGAGGGGTTGTGGTATGGGGGAGTGGGGGAGGGTGTGGGGGACTAGAGTGGGGGTAGGGGTTGTGGGGGGTGTGGGAGTGGGGGAGTGGTTGTGGGGAGGGAGAGGGAGGGGTTGTGGGGAGTGGGGCGGATGAGGGGGGAGGGGTTGGGGGGGGGGGGGTGTGGGGGGGGGTTGTGGGGAGTGGGGGAGGGGTTGTGGGGAGTGGGGGAGTGGGGGGAGGGTTGTGGGGAGTGGGGGAGTTTGTGGGGGTGGGGGGGGTGGGTGGGGGAGTTGTGGGGAGTGGGTGGGGGGGGTGTGGGGAGTGGAGGGAGGTTGTGGGGGTGGGGGTGGGGGGAGGGGTTGGGGAGTGGGGAGTGGGGGAGGGGTTGTGGGAGTGGGGAGTGGGGGAGGGGTTGTGGGGAGTGGGGGGAGGGGTTGTGGGAGTGGGGGAGTGGGGGGAGGGTTGTGGGGAGTGGGGGATGGGGGGGGGTGTGGGGAGTGGGGGAGGGTTGGGGGAGTGGGGAGGGTTGTGGGAGTGGGGGGGGTGGGAGTGGGGGGGGTTTGGGGATGGGGGGAGGGTTGTGGGGAGGGGGAGTGGGGGGGGGGTTGGGAGTGGGGGAGGGTTGTGGGGAGTGGGGGAGTGGGGGGTTGTGGGGAGTTGGGGAGTGGGGGGAGGGGTTGTGGGAGTGGGGATGGTGGGGGGAGGGGTTGTGGGAGTGGGGGGGGGTTGTGGGGAGTGGGGGAGTGGGGGAGGGGTTGTGGGGAGTGGGGAGTGGGGGAGGGGTTGTGGGGAGTGGGGGGAGGGGTTGTGGGGAGTGGGGGAGGGGTTGTGGGAGTGGGGAGGGGTTGTGGGGAGTGGGGGGAGGGGTTGTGGGGAGTGGGGGGAGGGGTTGTGGGGAGGGAGGCGTGGTGGGGAGGGAGGGGGAGTGGGGGAGGGAGGGGGAGTGGGGGGAGGGGTTGTGGGGAGTGGGAGGAGGAGTGCGGTAGGGAGGGTTTGTGGGGAGTGGGGGAGGGGTTGTGGTGAGTGGGGGAGGGGTCCGGTGGTGAGGGAGGGGTTGTGGGGAGTGGGGGTTGTGGGGAGTGGGGGGGAGGGGTTGTGGGGAGTGGGGGGAGGGGTTGTGGGGAGTGGGGGAGGGGTTGTGGGGAGTGGGGGGAGGGGTTGTGGGGAGTGGGGGGACGGAGGGGGAGTGGGGGGAGGGGTTGTGAGGAGTGGGGGGAGGGGTTGTGGGGAGTGGGGGGAGGGAGGGGGTGTGGGGGGAGGGGTTGTGAGGAGTGGGGGTTGTGGGGGGTGCGGACGTGACCTGGAGGCAGACGAGGGGGCGGGGTTGGTTTGGTTGAGTGCGGGTGGTGTGAGCGGACGTGACGTAACCAATGATCAGAAATTTTTACTTTAAACTTTCGTGACCCCAGGAATTCATATTCTTTGGTTCTTTCGGTAAAGTCACGTAGATAGAAACATAATAATAATAAAAATAATACAAATTAAATTAAGATAATAAAAAAAACACTAATGTAGACTGTAGCCTGGTTATTAAGCTGAGTGAGTGTACTGACAGTCTATACTGTAGACTGTAGCCTGGTTATTAAGCTGGGTGAGTGTACTGACAGTCTATATTACATTAGTGTACTGCCAGTCTATATTACATTAGTGTACTGACAGTCTATATTACATTATAGACTGCCAGTACACTCACCCAGCTTAATAACCAGGCTACAGTCTACATTATAGACTGCCAGTACACTCACCCAGCTTAATAACCAGGCTACAGTCTACATTATAGAGCTGGGTGAGTGTACTGGCAGTCTATAATATATGTGCGGTGGAGGAGGGGCCCAATGAAGGGCCATTGCCCGAAACGTCGCCTAAGACTTGAGCGGCGAGGTGATGTTGTTGAGGTCTTGCTTGATGAAGGATAAGGTTAAATTTCGATTTAAAGCTTTCGTGACTGCAGGGATTCATCTTCTTGGTTCTTTCGGTAAAGTCACGTAGAAGGGAAGTAATAAAATAATAAAAATTAAACATAATAAAATAATTCTCACCAGGGGGGGTACCCCAGTATCCAGTCCTTGAAGATTTGGTTTATCAAGGACTGGATACTGGGGTACCCCCCACATACTTCACCTGGAATGGAAATTTCTACAAACAAACTGAGGGCACCCCAATGGGCTCCTCCCTATCTCTGTTTCTTCACCTGAGGACGGCTGCTTGTGTTGTGGCCGAAACGTCGTGAGAATTATTTTATTATGTTTTATTTTTATTATTTTATTACTTCCCTTCTACGTGACTTTACCGAAAGAACCAAGAAGATGACCTCACTCACTAGAGGGCGCTGTACGACAGCGGCTCTGTTACAACATTCTCCACCACACGCTTATTATGTTGTGTGTTCCTGTGTATCAAGGCCGTAGCCATGGAGTCAACATTGGGGGGACCAAATCTTCCAGAGGGGGTCTGGGGGTCCCCCCCCCCCCCCCAGAAAAAAAAATCTAAATTTGAAAACTAATTTCCTGCATAAAATATTTAAAAAATTCCCTAACACATGGGATGGACTTTTTATTTACCGTATTTTTTACAATAATGTCTAATAGTGTATTGTATTACATTGCTCTGTTTTTTTGTTTTTTTACATTTTCTTGTTTCATTGTATGTAATGGCAGAGATTAGGGGTTAATAAAGAACAACCATAACCACAATCATATGAACAGAAATCTATTTTATAGCAATATATTGGGGGGGGGGGGGCATTTTGAGCAAATTTTTATATTGGGGGGGATGTGTCACCCCCAATATTTATTATAATTACGGCCTTGCTGTATATATATATAGTGTGTACGTCGAAGTTGGACCCATATCTTACGAAGAGGGTTGTTGGTTCAAGCGATTCGGACTTTGCTGAAGAGTTTGCGCTTGCGTTGAACCAATGCTTCTAATATAGAGGTGTAGGTCTTATTGTGATTGCTTCTTTACAGCAATCGTGTTACTTGCCGACGTGATGTGCAGTTAAGTGGACACCGAGTCACTGGCCCTCGATGGGCAAGGAGACTTTTTTTTTACTTTCAAAAACTTTTATAGCCGCCAGCAGCAAAAGCACTGGAGGCGATTTCGATATTAAATACACCGTCACCAGCAAACAAATGAAAATAAACGCTACAAATCCACGCGCTGTGGCGCTAAAAGCACCGCGCACAACATGAAAGAAAAGCCACGTGGTGGTGGTGGCGGTGGTGATTGTGGTGGTGGTTGTGGTGGTGGTCATCGCGCACGCTACGGTGACGAGCGAGTGCTTCAGAAGGTGAACACGAGGGTGCCGTCCACGCCGTTACAGAGAGGGGCTTTTCCGGCTCCCCAGCGTTCGAAGAAGACGTGCACATCACCGACATGTGTGTGGTTGACCAGCGCATGTAAACAAAAACTAAATTCACAAGCACAGTTAATCTGAAACTCGGGCAATATTCCCACGTGTAATGGAGAGTCAACTGAAGTAACATTGGACTGTGTTGTACTGGCCCGCTTCAGAACAGCCTACTCCACAAGTGGGGGATTAAAGACAACCCAAAGTGTGACTGGGGTAACCCGAAGCAGACGATGGAACAGGGGCAGGTTTCTTCATTAGGGCGATTGAGCGACGCACCACCAATGTCATTCAACCACAGAGTCACGCTAGCCGTCACTGTGCCTCTGGATATAGTCCAATCAGCGTCATGTCACGTTCTGTGGAGTACCGCCTCTTTTTGGGTGATTTCACTCCGGCCGAGAATCGCCCAGAGTGGTCCCATAGACTTACATTCAAAGATGTTTTTTTTCGAACGGGGGGCGCTGCAATGCATTCTCTATGGCTTCCGGGAGGGCTCGCACTAACGTGCTTACGTCATCATACGTAAGCACGTTGCATCCAACAATATTATTTGTCGCCACCTAGTGGAATCTTTAATAAAAGAAACTTGAGTGGATTGTATTAATAGTGAGTATAGAAACAAACAAGATGTATTGTAAGAGTCACTTTATTTTTCATTAATATTAAAGAAGTGAAGTTGCCTTTACATGCTTAAGCTGTTAATTTATCCTTTGCATGGGTGGACCTTATCCTTAGAAATCATCCAGACATTTGCCCCCCCTGAGAGATTTTGCAGGAGCCGCCACTGCGATGGAACCCACGTCGCCAACAACCGCATCCTACGCCCGCTCTCCGGCAGGACTGATCAGTATCAGTGGCGCTACTTCTGAAGCTATCGCGTGGCTCACAGACTTAAACTTGGACGTGTGTATGAAATAAAAATAAATCACGACGTTTCGATCGCAACACAAGCGGTCGTCCTCAGGCGGAAAAAAATATAATCCGGCAGTGGAACGGCTGAACCGCGTCGTGATTTATTTTATTTTCTACCTACGTGACTTTACCGAAAGAACCAAATAGTATGGATTACTGCAGTCACGAAAGCTTCAAATCAAGATTGGACGTGTGATTTGCACATACTTGGCATACGCTAGGAGAGAGATCGGCTGGCTGGTCTCGCTTGTATTACTGTATCTCTATTGTAATTGTTGCACACTCGAAATGAAGGACGTAGGGGCAGGTGCTCAAAATCGAGGGCAAACACATTTATTGTGGTTAATCTGTAGAATGCAACAGCACGTGTGTCACACACAGCAATTCTTGAACCGAGTCGCCATTAACCGTGTGGCTGGTGTCCACGTGCGGTTATTCAATAACCCTGCCAGCCACCTACAGGCCCAATTCAGTCATCACATGCTGGTGTACACACATGCATTGATGCACTGCACAGCAAATCAGGACTTTCACAGAACCACACTTCACTCCCTTGCTGCACAAGGAAATAATTAGAAGAGTGGTCCCTTCCTGATGTGCCACGTAATGTCTCGTTCTGTCTCATGAGAATACATTACTACCTGTGCTGTATTCCCATTTGTATTGTCAGGTCTCCAATTGTGTTGTCTTGTTTGTGCTGTCTCCTGTTGTTCCATGTGTATTGTCCCATTGGTGATGTCCCATGTTCTCTTCGGTTCCAATCAGTTCTCCAATCAGGAAAAACATTGCACAACATTTAAATGTGGATTAAACACGCACAGCAAACACTTCGGAGTTTGTCGTATCAACAATTTATTTGCGTACAAAACATACAAAACGCAAACATATCAATTTACAACAGCATTAAATCACGTACATTATCAGGTACTGTAGTCTAAATTTACCGAAAGTATACATATATGATCGATCTTGAAATAGCTTAAAGAGTATGACAACCAACATGGAGAATGAAGCTAGGAGATCAGCTCATGTGCAAGGAGCAATAGATCCAGTAGGACTTGGCCCACGACGTCGGGAGGCCTTCATTCAGCAGTGGATAGATCATGGCTGATGATGTGACACATTGGGTACGATGTGAGTGTGGACACGCGTTGGATTTGGCAGATTCAAGGAAGGAAGCGATGATGGCGAGGTGTGGTGGCTTCAGTGTCATCGCTTAGGATCGAACCTTCATATTAAATAGACACGTGAGGCGTTTACCTATATTGTTTGTTTTGTGTTGTGTAAAGCGTTTAGTATATATAAAAATTGTGATTTCTAAAATGTGTGTGCAGCCCTTTGTAAACCCACTGCTGGATCAGGACCTCGCTCCACCAAGTCACTGCGTGTATAGTGAGGAGTAATGTTACCATACTTCACCACGCTGGTCAGTGCGGATTCTTGAAGGGGGCACGCGTCAGTGACCTGTTGAGATGCCACTTACCTCTGGTGATGTTAGCCGTGGCCGGGAATCAAACTTGGGGCCGGATTCACAGCCAAGTCTGGTAATTATAATCAGTGCCCCGAAACTGTGCCACCAAAAACACCCCGAGGTGGTAAGTTAAACAAAAGTCAGGGATTTAGGGAGGTGTGGAGTGGTAGCGGAGTGCCAAGACCACCGCATTATGAACCTACGACAAAGGTTCGATTCCTGGCTAAAGCTAACGGCACCCGCTTAAATGTAAAACTAATTTCTTTAGAACTGCTTTTTGTGTTTAGTTTTAGTTCAACATACATACGTACATACCCACATACCCCACCCACATTCCCTGAAGATAATTGCATCCAGCAGTGGATTGACAAAGTGCTGTAAATGATTACTATTGTTAATTTAAATAAATTAACTATATTTGTACTATTTTTTTAGTTTATCAGGCGATGCCTACTGAGCTATATAGCTCTTTCAGAAGTGACCTGGCCACAAATTATATCTCGACGGAGTGGTTTATCACGTGGAAATGTATAGTGGCCCAATACTCTAAACGCGTGTTGTTGATTCTAAATGTGGAGGGAAAAACCGGAGGACCGGAGAAAAATCCATGCGATCATGGAAAGAACATGCACACTCCAAATATACAATAGGCGTCACGGTTGGGATTGAACCCACGACGTCCTGTATACCAGGTGCGGGAGTCAATATCTCGCCAGTGAAAGTTTTTCAGTTTTACATCTCAAATTGCTTTGAGGGTCACTGGGAGCCATGCAAGCCTCATCATCATCATCGATGTCTGGTTGTCTCCTACACAGCAGCATCATATGAAGCTGTAGTTGGGTTTCGACGCGGGAGAGCAGAAGACAGACGGATTATTGTTCCAGCAAGACATTTCATGCGCTGTAGTTTCCTCTTGATAAAAAAAAAATTTTTAAGTTCTCTTTCGTGGGAACCTTGAAATTTACGGAATTTAAGCCATATGCAATAGGGTTTTACCCTTTCAACTGGTACAAAAACTGACACCTTTATACAAGGCATCATGTTTGCAATAACCACAACAAAAGCAGTCAAAATGCAAACAAAAAGAAACAACTCTGATGATGATAATGATATGCACTGTCCTTGAAGTTGATTGGTCCACACCCGAGACAGCTTTTCTTAGAGCCTAGTCTCCATTGGTGTTGGACCAGATGACGCCAAAAGGCGTAAAACTCAAAAACAGCGCACTATTAGAGTATTGAGAGCTCGGGGCAAGCATTTACTCATGACTGGATGTGGTTGAAAACGAATCTGTTGTTTCAGACTTGTGAAATTCAAACACATTGTCTTTCACATGGTGAAATATATTGTAGAATGTGTATACGTATGTGTGTAGCGATGGTGAGTTGAGAAACACTCTCGATTCCCGCTCATGGCCAACACCAGTGACGATTATCTGAACCGGTCCTGCGCCTCCCCTAGGTCAACTCAGCCTCAACTGAGTACCTGGTGTGATGTGTAAACATCGCCACTGGGGAGACAAAGGCGGCCGGGCGTGATTCTGGCCACCCACCTCCTCGTGTGCCGTGCCGGCTTTCATAGGTGCTCACTAAGAGCACTTGCCCCAACAGTCTGTTAAGGCTATTCGGGGGATCTTTATGTTTGTTGTTATGATCGCTAAAAAATATCCACGTGTACAAATACATGCGGTTTATTTAAAAACCGTAAAAGAGTTGATAGTATAGACTTTGGGGTTGGAGTCGTGGAGCAGCAGTGCACTGCGCTGTGAACCTGGTGGCTTGAATTTTGATTCCTGGCCATGGCTAACTGAGCTTGAACTGGTCTTGCCTCCATCCCACCAAGGCCGTAATCCCCCCCAATATTTAAATATGCTCAACATGTCCCCCCCCCCCCCCCCCCCCAATATATTGCTATAAAATAGATGTCTGTTTATATGATTGTGGTTATGGTTGTACTTTATTAATCCCTAATCTCTGCCATTACATACAATGAAACAAGAAAAGGTAAAAAAAGAAAAAAACAGAGCAATGTAATACAATACACTATTAGACATTGTAAAAAAATCAATAAAAAGTCCATCCTATGTGTTAGTGAATTTTTTTATATTTTAGGCAGGAAATTCGTTTTCTTAAATTTGATTTTTTTTTTCTGGGGGGGGGACCCCCCCAATGTTGAATCCATGGCTACGACCTTGTAAAGTATGGCTAAATACCGTCCACGACCATCGTGGGTAGGCATTCATCCATCAGTGGATTGACAAAACGATTGAAACGTCTGACTGTAAATTATATGTACTGTATAAACACATATAAAATAACATACATTCTTAGCTTCTGTCAACAGTGGCGTGAGAAACTAATTGCATGACTGTGCCTTTGCCATTTTTTTTACATTATCAGCCGTGCAGAGTCGCATCTTGAAAAAAATAAAACTAAAATGCATTCCATCGCCTCGTTGATTTTTCTGATTGTTGGTGGTAAACACATCGGTCCGTTTTTTGGAAAGTAAACAAAACTGTTGGAAGGGAACGTTAGTCAACAGCATGCGAATTGGGCCATTATGCGGTGGTATTTCTCAACGTTGGCTTTGAAACGCCACACCCATTTGACCATTAATTTTTTCCATCTCAAGTGCGCCGCGCGATTTGCAACCCGCGGACGCAAGCTTTGATAACCAGCTACGGCCAACATTAGTGGCCAGTGAAATCAGAACCGATGTTAACCTCCCCCCATGCCCCACCACTTTCACCAACCTGCACTGAGAAGCGTGGTCAAATATGGTGAAAGAAAAACAGCCATGTCCGACATGGCATGGGGACGGCTTCGCCCATTGGCGGATTGAGATTGTTGGAATTGTATAACCCTCGTTATCGTTACAGTATTATAATAATCCTCTACACCGGCGTTTCTCCCCCAAAGCCAGTTCTCATAACCGCCCCACCACATCAGAGATTTCTGTTGTTACCAAACCATCAAATGCGTGCAGTGTTTGCAGTGGCCTCATTTTTACATCAGTCAAAGAAGCTGGCAAGCAAAGAAGGCAAACTGTGTGGGTTTACGACTCGTGGAGTTTAGAAACACTCTTAGGAGGACTAATTCCTCCAAGGAGCTAGTTTCAGTAAACTTATCACATGCCCTTTGTTGGAAAACTATTAAGAACCGCAAGCCGCAAACATTACACGGAGCGAACAATGTGCACTTGGCACAGCAATAATTATTGACCATCGTAACTTTCAATATTATGGGGCCAAAAATCGTGTGTGCTGTACAATTTCCCAGTTCTGATTTTCACATATCCAGCAATGCCCAATACACTTCCCCCAACACCCAGTGCAGCATTTGTACACGGTGGCGTCATGGTAAATATATATTGACGTTCGTATATCTTTTTACACATCCATCCTCAGGGCTCAGTTCCCATCGAATTGGATGTTTACTCTATACATATTCGCCATCGTGTGAATCTAGCCATCTTTGTTTGTGGAAACCCACGAAAATGTAATGTCTTAAAAGTGTAACGAGCGTAAAGGTACGATTAGCACGGTTGGCTACGTATTGTACGAAAGAGGTTCAACATACACACACATATAAGGTTAGCACACATGGCCTCATTAATGAGTGGAGAGGTGAATTTGGGTGAAAAGCCTTGGGTAGGAAATAAGAGGGTAACAAATACATTTAAAAGGAAATGTTTTTTAATCGTGAAATTTGTTACAAGCCCTTTCATACATTTTGCCTAAGGCTTCACAATCACTAAGACTGGAGCTGTTACTCGAGTTGTCTGCTCTGTGTTATTACCTCATGCCAATTCCAAGCAAAGTATGTGATGATAGACACGGCCAAGTGGCTCAGGGGTCAGAGAGCTGAGCCGAAACTGCTGGCAGCCGAGGTTCGCATCCAGACAGCCGTCTGTGATTAAACCGGATTCTGATGTGTTGTGAGATCATGGTCTCATCTCGGCCACCAATTACTACACAATACATTTGCTACTGCAAACGTTTCGTCAAAATCCCAGCTCTGATAATTAGCTTATCGGATTGACTGGCATGCAGTGAACATTTCTGGCATATACAAAGCAGGCGGGAAAGTGCCGCTCTGTACTGTATTGTGTGGAATAGAGTTCATTTTATATCTTAAAGCTAGCTCTGTGATATTCACTTCCGTGGGCAATTCTCTAACACAAAGGGGTAAACTGCGATGCGGAAGATCCGGATAAATGCATAGATGTATGATGCGATGCTGATAGCATAATCAAGATCCAATTGGAGAAAAATAAAAACTAAAAAGTTATTTTGTTCACCGACTCAGTAATAAGTACCAATGTTAAGCACACAGCAGTCGTAAAGTTAATTGTGGCAAGAGTTAATTCAATAATTCATGACTACTGATGTGTGCTAATTCCAATACGCCTGTAATTCAAGATACATTTAAATCAGATCAACTTTGGCTGGAGTTGAAGCATTAGAAGTGGCATGCCACTTCTGCAATTGTCGTTGATTAAGATCATCATTGATTAACGTGCTCATCTCCTGATTGTAAAGGATACCATGATTCAAATAGTTGTCGTCATATTGCAGCCACACTCTTAAATATGTTTGAAATTGCCTCTATACCCTTGGAGGACGGTATATGACGGCTCGCTGCTTTTCTAATGTGCAAGTTATGTAAGAGTGCTGCCATCTTTACCACGTGACACCTCTGCCACCTTGTGGTAAAATAGGAAGGGAAAAAATATTGCACATGAGTAGAGTACCAAAGGCATTCCTCAATCACCACTCAATTTTTACCGATGCTAAATCGACATAGATTATTAATTGAAACAAAATGTGAATGTAAACTTCATCGTACAATGTATATAAAAACGAACGATTTAATTCTTTTTTTTGGTCATAACATTGGCAGTGAATAAATGGAGTAAAGTTTTATAAACAAGAAATCTGAAGTAAAAAAATAAACAAAAGATGCACTATGCACATGTAAAAAGAATGTGTGGCAACATGCTTCTGCGAAGGTTCTGGAAAGATGAGTCGAATGCTCAAGACTAATGTGGCAGACCACGCATCGGCTGGGAAAGCAACGTAACAGAGAGTGCCAAAGAAGGAGTAGAAACAGTTTAGAGAAGGGGCGCAGAACATACAGACTTGGAGACAGCATCGCATTGAGGCATCAAGAGCAGGAGAAGAAAACGAATGACTAATTTACACTGGCACATCCGTATGTATCTATGTTGAACTTCTTTCGCCCCGTTCGAGCCAACCGGGGGAAGGACAACAAGCTAAACACAAAAAACAGTTCTAAAGAAATTAGTTTTCAATCTAGATTTAAAAGTGCATAGCTGGCAGTGGCTTCCTAAATATCGGAAGGGAAGAGCGTTCCAGACGGCCGCAGAAGCGCGCCTGAAAGCACGCGATGCAGTGGCCGTCTTTGTTTGATGGTTAGCCAAAAGCTGCTTGCGAGGATGACCGAAGTTTGCGTGATGGTTTATGCTGCTTGACGAGATCAGCAAGGTATTGTGGTTCATTTGTGGCAAGCACTTTGTGTGCACTGAGTGCGTGGGGGCCTCAAAGTACTATTGGTCGTTGTCCACCGGCTATTTGAACGTACTGGCGATAAAACGGTGGTGCGCGGTATAAAATAAGCAGAAAATCTCGCGGGGTGCGCCAAAATCAGTTCCCGTGATGTCAAGCAGTTGGAAGGTGGATGTGTATAGCACCCAGCCTAATGGCGTGTTCCAAAGCCAGATTTGACTCGTGCCCTAGATTTGGTCGGACGATTCCTCGATTCAGTTCTGAAATTATTTATTTGGCAGACGGTAGCATCAAAAGATTATGACTCGTGTCATACGTTGAGAATGGGAAAGCAGCTTCTGGACCTAACGGAACTTCTGATGGAGAATCTGCAGCTCACCCAAGGGCAACGGCGACATCATCAGACTGTTTTATGAGGACCGGTGTATTACGCTGCGATGGTGTGCCGCGAATTCGTCCAATTACCAATTTTTTTTTTTACTCAAAATAATATTGGGCAGCACGTGAATCCGGCCCAAGAAATTCCCGGCAGCGTGCGGGAGACACCACGGGGTCGGAGGCAGTTATGAGAGGATTGGGAGAGATGGTGGCTAGCGTGGAGTGGCAGAGCAGGTGGTGGGGGGGGGGAAACCTCACAACTGATGCACCTGGGACATCTGCCCTGAATCCGAGCTGCTCTTGGTGCCCTGCTGAGACAAGGCAGAGCCGCCGGACGCCTCTTCGCCGAGGGCCGCTTCGAGCTGCCGCAGGATTGGCGAGGACCTGAGCAAGTTCTTGCGGAATTCGCGTCCCACAAACACGTAGAGGAACGGGTTGACGCAGCTGTTGGTGATGGCTATTCCCACCGCGAGGGGCTGCAAAAAGTTCATGATATCCATTAAGTGGTGGAACGCCTCTTCGCTTTCGATCGGCACAAGTTTCACGATGACCAATATGTGGTAGGGAAACCAGCAGACGAAGAAGGCCGCCACCACGGCGGCGATGAGACGCACGGAGCGGGCCCTCCGTGATGTGTGCACGCGCGACATGGAGCGCATCTTGTGCACGACGCACATGTAGCAGAAGCAGATGGCGACCAGCGGCAGCAGGAATCCAGCCAGAAGGGTGAAGACCCCCACGGCCACCATGATCACGTCTTCTTCGTCGCCGTAATTCACCATGCACCACGACAGGCCGATATCGTCTTCGATGACCTCGCGGTACAGGAAGCTGGGCAGAGTGCTGAGCGCGGCGGCGCCGAGCGAGACGGCGCACACCACCCACGCCACGCCGGTCGAGCGTATCCGGAGCGCCAAAATTGGCTGCACCACCGCGAAATAGCGGTCGAGGCTGATGGCAGCGAGCAGGTACACGCTGGCGTACATGTTGAAGATGATGAAGGAGGGCAGGACCTTGCAGGCGGTGTGGTCAAAGGGCCAGTGGTGGTGGACGAGCAGCGTTATCAAGAGGGGCAGGGTGGCCACGAATGTGAAGTCGACGGCGGCGAGCGACAGAAAGTAGACGGTGACCGGGGAGCGCTTCATGCGGAACCCCGCGACCCACACGACGGCACCGTTCCCCAGGGTGCCGCAGACGAACACGACGCTGTACAGCAAGATGTTGATCACCGTCATGGCCTTGTTGCCGGCCGTACCTATGTGGTCGTCATCCTCGTGGTCCGTGTGATTACGCAGCGCGGTGCAGTTGTTGAAGCTCGGGTCCGTGCAGTTGTCAGCCTGGATGCCGAATGGGCCCGCAAGCGTCGTTGGGGTTGGCTCCATTGCCTGACGCTGGAATGGGAACGAATGGCAAAAAGTAAACTTATTATTATAAAACGATAAAAAAAATATTTATTTGTTTAAATCAGGTAAGGCCCATTGAGCTATTTAGCTCTTTTTGAGAGGCGACCTGGCCACAAATGATAGAACACACCGAGTACAATGGACACACCGAGTACTTGAACACAGAGTACATGGACACACTAAGAACTTGAACACACTAAGTACTTGAACACACCGAGTACTTGAACACACAGAGTACATGGACACACTAATAACTTGAACACGCTAAGTACTTGAACACACCGAGTACTTGAACACACAGAGTACTTGAACACACCGAGTACATGGACACACAGAGTACTTGAACACACTAAGTACTTGAACACACCGAGTACTTGAACACACCGAGTACTTGAACACGCTAAGTACTTGAACACACCGAGTACTTGAACACACAGAGTACTTGAACACACCGAGTACATGAACACACAGAGTACTTGAACACACCGAGTACATGGACACACAGAGTACTTGAACACACTAAGTACTTGAACACACTGAGTAAAATGGACACACTAAGTACTTGAACACATCGAGTACAATGGACACACAGAGTACTTGAACACACCGAGGACTTGAACACACCGAGTACTTGAACACACTTTGCACTTGAACACACCGAGTACTTGAACACACCGAGTACATGAACACACTTTGCATTTGAACACACCGAGTACTTGAACACACAGAGTACTTGAACACACTGAGCACATGAACACACCGAGTACTTGAACACACCGAGTACTTGAACATATTAAGTACTTGAACACATCGAGTACAATGGACACACCGAGTACTTGAACACACCGAGTACTTGAACACACAGAGTACTTGAACACACTAAGTACTTTAACACCCTTTGCACTTGAACACACCGAGTATTTGAACACACTAAGTACTTGAACACACCGAGTACTTGAACACACCGAGTACTTGAACACACAGAGTACTTGAACACACCGAGTACATGAGATATATTGTACACGTGAAAGTAATGGAGTGCACAAACACACGATTGTCTCCAGCACAGTCATCAGCTGGTGACCCACTAACCCCAGGCCGCATGCGCTATTCACAGGGCTGTTGATGAATAAGCCCCAGAACATTGTTTTTATAGCTTTATTTTGGTGATTTTGAAAACGTTTTGGTTTAGCCATGTGTGTTTGTTGTAGTACAGAGTTAGCCTGATAACTGTAATCTAAATTGTCTTATGGTTATATAAGACAATTTATATTTTATTATTTTATTGTTTCCCTTCTACGTGACTTTACCAAAAGAACCAAGAATATGAATCCCTGCAGTCACGAAAGCTTTAAATCAAAATTGTCTCATGCTTGTTATTGTTTGACTTGCATCCCACTGGGATCTTTGCACACAGCGTTGCAATGCGGTGTTTTTTTCTGGAAGACTTTGCTGTTTTTTCCTGGATTTTTCTGTTGCGTGTAGTCACTCAAAGATATTTTCTTGTTCGTGTTTTTGTTTTGTTGCGGTTGCACCCGAGTCAAGAGCCCCATGGCTCACAGGGCTATACCTAATATATGAAACAGAACTGGAAATTGAAACATGGGGTCCACTACCTACGGCTCTTTAAGGGACCGTGGGCTTCGTGACAAGTGATTTTATGAAGGAACCACCGTCTCGTGTTCACCACACAGTGCATTGCGGCCTCTTGAGATATGTACCGAGTCTTTAAAGTGTTCATACTCTTAGGTTTTTTCGGTAAAGTCACATAGGTAAAAAAATAAAATGAAATAAATGAAAACAACTAAATTAAATCACGACGTTTCGGGCGCAACACAAGCGTCCTTCTTCAGGTGGGGACAACGTAGCGAAAGCACAACTGCTTAAGTGTGTCTAAGAGATGGCTTTTTAGCTCTTGAACACAACGCTGCCACCAACACTCCAGACTCGAGAAATAGTGGACGACACTGTCTTTGGGGCCGTCCAAAAAAATTAATAAATGAAAATAAATCAATTAAATCACGACGTTTCGGAAGCAACACAAGTCTCCGTCTTCAGGTGGGACCGTCACAGCCAAATGTAAATTCATTTTTATTTATTTATTTTTACCTACGTGACTTTACCGAAAAAACCTAAGAGTATGAATCGTTGCAGTCACGAAAGCTTCAAATCTAGAATCTTTTAAGTGTGTTTTTTTATACCGAATTCGACCAAAAATAAAATTTACTTATGCGGTTTTTCTTTTTGGGTTGCCCATCCCTGCCACAGCACTGCTGGTGGGGGGGGAGTGCAAAGGCGCAATGCAGAACGAGTCACGCACTTCCACGTGCGATCTGAAGCCAGCGGTGACTCACACACCCGCTTTGTAATAAACTTGGGAGCGCATTTTGAAATCAGATGGTATCCTTCGCCCGCTGCCAATGCAATCCCGGGCCGATTTTAATATTACACAACTCACCGCCTTCAAGATCCTCCGTGGACTCTACCCTCTCATCTCACTCAGCTCCCCTCCACGCTCTCCCCTCTCATCTCACTCCATTTTCATCTCACTCCCCTCTACGCTCTCCAATACATCTCCCCTCTCATCACACTCCACTCCCCTCCACGCCCTCCCCTCTCATCTCACTATACTCCCCTCCACGCTCTACACTAAATCTCTCCTCTCATCTCACTCTACTCCCCTCCACGCTCTCCCTCTCATCTCACTCAGCTCCCCTCCACGCCCTCCCCTCTCATCTCACTCTACTCCACGCACTCGCCTCTAATCTCACTGCACTCCTCATCACGCTTTCCCCTCTCATCCACGCTCTCCACTACATCTCCCCTTTAATCTCACTCTACTCCCCTCCACGCTCTCCCCTCATCTCACTCATCTCCCCTCCACGGTTTGCCCTCATCTCACTCATCTCCCCTCCGCGTCCTCCCCTCTCATCTCACTCTCCTCCACTCCACGCTCACCCCTCTCATCTCACTCTACTCCCCTCCGCGCCCTCCCCTCTCATCTCACTCTACTCCACTCCACGCTCTCCCTCTCATCTCACTCAGCTCCCCTCCGCGCACTCTGCGTTCCAGTAACCAAGGCTCTCCGTCAGAGCCCCCAGTCAACATTGGCTCAGTGCTAGGTAGGTCGCGTATTTTCCTCTGCTCCCCTAATAGTCCTGACACCACCCCGCCCCTCCGTCATCCGTGCTGTCGACTCCATATCCAGTTCCAAATCCAGGCTCAATCGCGAATTCCTTTGCCCGTGGCTGACTGCCGCTTTCTATAAAATAGAGGTTGCTTCAAATAAATGTCAACACTTCAGAGAATTTGCAACAATACCACAAGAAAAGTGCCGACCGAGCTCTGGAGACCACGTGAAGAAGATTCCAGGCAATGTGTTGTACAATGATGGCGAACACGTGGAGACTCTTTGACTTTTTGAAGCTGTTAACATTACAATTGTCATAATTTTAAATTAGTATCCGTTCTATTTCGATTAAAAACTACAGTCCCATATAAGTGTTAACATGTTTTGAAGCATCCTGTACAAGTCCACTGGTTCGGTGCAGCGTCTTGATATGGGGAGAATTTAGACGCCATATGAAATACAAATGTCAGTATTAGTGTGTGCTACTCGCATCCACCATCCCGCTGCAATAAATAGAAGGCGCTCTCGCTGTAAACATACGTTCATGAAATAGGCCACCCAGTTGAAACGTCGATTGAGCTTAGTCAACCTCTTACTCATGTCAACGCTCATTAAGTGGCTGAAAGATGTTGATATTTAGAGACCTGGCAACCCTTGGGCAATTGTGGGTGGCGCCGGCTCTGTCGCCTGACCACTGCCGAGTTAACATCTCGCCACCACGAGATGTTGACTACCTCGCCTGGTACACAGGAGGCCGTGGGTTCGATCCCGACCCTGACGCCTGCTGCTGTATATTTTGAGTTTGCGTGTCTCTCTCTCTCCCGGTGGTCGCGTGGATTTATCCTTCCACATTTATAATCAACGCGCGTTTCATGTATTTAGCTGCGATACATTTCCACACGATAAGCCACTTCGTTGAGTTATCATTAGCGGCCAGGTCCGTTCTAAAAAAATAGCTATATAGCTCAGTGGGCCTTACCTCGTAAAATAAAATATAACCGTTTAGTTTTTAGTTTCTTCACTCGTATGTGGTTCCTCTTCGACCCTCTGAGTCGTCCTCCCTCTCTCTCTTCGAGGGCAATCGAATACGTTGGGAGCGGTGGCGCAGTGGTTAGCACACTGCGCTATGAAACTGGCGTCCCTAATTGAATTCCCGACCACGGCTAACATCAGTGGCGGGGTGCTGACATCAACCGGCGCCTTGGTCTTCCCTCCCCTCGTACCAACGCATACTGCGAGAGTTTGCGTACGAGCGTTTAATCTGTCCACATATGTAACTTCCCTCTGTAAATGTCCACGATTTCTTATCCCAGGTTTAAGGCTGGACACACCTGCGAAAGAGAGTTCCATGGCTCATCGGGTCCTCCAGCTTAAGCCAAATTTCCGTGGCTATGACCAGCGCAATGAAGTATGGTCAAACAACCTCATCTTGACCGACAAGGCGTGTGAGAACACGACACCCTGCACTGGATGCATAAATGAACTGTGTATTAGTATTATGATTTGTAGTACGTGTTACTAATAACACATCGCAATAATACTATATGAGGAACACGACACTTGGAAGAATGATGATAGATGGGCAATAGTAATAATAATACTGACGGACTGTGTTGCCAAGGTAGAGGCACGCGTCCGAGTCAGAGCTACGTCCACCGTATGAGATGGAGCAATTAAAGCAATCATCTCGTGCGTAGTAGGTGGTAGCCGGATAGGGTGTTATGCGAATTCTGAACACGCATGATCGTGAGAGTTTGCGTATAGAGCTTGGGGGAAGCCTTCATCCAGCAGTGGATTGACCCTGACTGCTGTCGATTCTGATGATGCTGCTGATGATGAATCGCACGCAAACGCATACATGTACCTGCTCGGGTGCCTTGCTTCGCTTCGCTGTGCTCGTCACGCAAGCCGGGAGTGAATTAGTCCACGTCGCCCTCGCGCGAACTCGTGCAAGAATTCACGAGTTCAACGCACGCGCTCAAGAAAAAGCCTCCCCCGTCCCACCACCACCACCACCCTCCTCCTTCCCTCCCCCCCAAAAAAACCCACAAGAACTCTTGTGAATATTCAGCGACGTGAATGCAAGTCAGGAGCGGTGGCTTTCACAGCCGCGATGGGAACTTCAGGGGAGTCCTGCCTTGCGTTGGCGAGTCGCAGTTTGTTTTTTTATATAAAGCGGTCGGTCAGTAGTAAGTGGTTGGTGGTGGGGTTGTGTGACGCAAGGGAGAGAAGGGAGGAACCAACGTTAGACTTGAGGCCAATGGCTTCTGCGATGGTGATGTGGGGGGGGGGGGTTACACATCAAGCGAACGAGGAATACGTTCATTATACAGGGTGTTTCAAACAGATGGACCCAATTTCAAAGCAGTGTATTTCACGATGGCAACATGTTACAATTACACAAACAGATACAAACGGTTTAATGAGTTATCAAGTTTTACTAACCATTTTCTAAATGCTCTATGTGCCCTCCAAATGCTGTACAGACAACACCGAGACGATAGTTGAATTCGTCCCAAACGCCTCTCAAAGTGTCTTCTTCCACTGAAGTCACCGCCTGCCGTGATTCTGTTTTTGAGGTCATCCAGATTAGTCGCTAATGGTGGCACAAAAACACGGTCTTTGACGTATCCCCACAAGAAAAAGTCGCAGGGTGTGATGTCTGGGGATCTTGGGGGCTAAGAGTGTAGCGCCAAGTCTTGGGGTCCCGTGCGACCTATCTAACGTTGAGGCAGTGTGTCTCGCGAATGACTGAGGCTAGGGGCTGTTTGTGCGCTGGGAGAGGCATCTGAAGGCCATCATTTGAAACTCTATAGCCCCGCCCTTTCAAGTGGTAAGAGATTCATTCATGGGCGGCTCGTGGTTGCAGAGATATAGCGATTTCAAATCGGGTCCATAATTTTTAAAACACCCTGGTATATCGAAACACATTCTTCCGAAACACTGGGGTCTTAAAATAAATACATATTTTATAATAGGCGCCGTTTCAGGCAATGGCTTCTTAGCAAATATAAACATTTTAAATAAAACTATTTTACGTGCTATGATGATGGACCATTGCCCGAAACGTCGCCTATAATATATATTTTTTATTCCAATGCCACAGTGTTTATTGAGGAATGTATTGAGTTCATGTTTTTGTTCATTGTGCTTGTGTTACCGTTCGCTGCCAACGCAGCAAGCATCACCAAATGACACCGCTGTCAACCCACACGGCTTACCCCGAATTCTCGTGCAGGGACATCTTGTTTTCAGGTCCATACGGCGAACAGCCGTTTCAATACGGGCAACACATTTATTTTTGTATATTTATTTGTGCTCCCCCCCTTGTGATGGGACTTTATAGGACGAACGTTCAGATGTATAAGGGCACGGGGTGACCGGTAAGGTCTGAATTGCTCTGTCACAAGGTAGGGCACTGATAAGGAGTTGACAGGTGTGAAATATCTATATTTTTTAAAATCCGAGAACCACGCGTAGGTTTTATGGCACCATTCGATCTGTCGAGAAAATCAAGTTGGTTTGGGCAGGACAAGTCGTTGGATGGGATGGATGGCCGATAATAATAATAATAACAACGGAGTGGCATTTCGATTTAAAGCTTTCGTGACTGCAGGGATTCATCTTCTTGGTTCTTTCGGTAAAGTCACGTAGAAGGGAAATAATAAAATAATACAAACAACGCAAGCAGCCGTCCTCAGGTGGAGAGCAGGTCTGTTGAGAAGACAGAGTCTGAATGACACACTCCAGGCTTGGAGCGACTATTTAAGCTGGGTGTGTTATTCAGACTCTGTCTTCTCGACAGACCTGCTATCCACCTGAGGACGGCTGCTTGCGTTGTGGCCGAAACGTCGTGAGAATATTTGATAATGTTTTAATTTTATTATTTTATTATTTCCATTCTATGTGACTTTACCGAAAGAACCAAGACAACGGAGTGGCAGCCAAGCAATCGGATGCGTCTGGGGAGCACGCGAGCCGAGGAGATGGAACGATTAATTCAGTTCACATGCTGGTGCCACTAGATCGATTGTTTGCCAAACCGCAGGATCGTGAAAGGAGGCAGTGCCTTGGTCAATACCTCTATCCAGCAGGGGATTGACCACGGCTGATATCCAATAAATATTGCAACGTTGCTCCAACGCTCCATATTCACTGGGCAGTACTCTTAGTTTTTTTGGTAAAGTCACGTAGGTAAAAAAAATTATAAAATAAAATAATAATAAATGAAAATAAATCAATTAAATCACGACGTTTCGGAGGCAACACAAGTCTCCGTCTTCAGGTGGGACCGTCACAGCTAAATTTACTGTATCAAGTGAAGATAAATCCAAGAGACAAGATCTTAAATGCAAGTTAAGGGGAGGAGGGGGGAGGGGCTTATCTAAATGTGGTAGTCAGGGACTGGAACGGTGTGGGGCGGGGCTAGAAGGGAGGGTACAATTGGAGAACCTCAACCGGGGTTACGGCCGATGTTGGCTGCCAAATACAAAATAGCAGCACTGTTAAACGCTGGGGATGTCAACACTCGGTAAAATAGACTAGTACCTGTCAAATAAGATGGGACAAATATTCGTAGTCAAAGCTTCAAATCTAGAATTCACTGGGTAATTCATTTTAAATTTTCTTAGGTTTTTTCGGTAAAGTCACGTAGGTAAAAAAATTAAAATTAATAAATGTAAAATAAAATAAAAATCACGTTTCGGAGGCAACACAAGCTTCCGTCTTCAGGTGGAACCTTGTGTTGCCTCCGAAACGTCGTGATTTTTATTTTATTTTACTTTTATTAATTTAATTTTTTTACCTACGTGACTTTACCGAAAACACCTAAGAATATGGATCCTTGCAGTCACGAAAGCTTCAAATCTAGAATTCATTTTAAATCTCTTCTCCCATTCTCATAAGACGTGAGGCTAAGGCACTATTCCACTCGTGTCAGCGCCGGTCCCGTTAGATCTCTGACATGATCCTCAGCAGACTGGAGTCTGGCTGGACACGTGCGTTTGTTGTGCCGCACTTGTACGCTTCTCGCAGAATCTGCTCAACGCCCCCCCCCCCCCCTCTCGAGCCTTCACCAACCCAAGACACCACGCCGACCAGCGTGGTGAAGTATGCTGAGCACGGCATCACGAGCCGCGCGACAAGGCGTAGGGAGGCCCTCATCCAGCAGTGGAGTGACAAGCTGATACAGGGTGCACACACCACGCGTACACGGGGTGGGGGTGGGGGGTGATAGGAACTGCGTGCACTGTATTCTCCCACGCACACCCCTTGCTCCAAAATAATCAAATACATCGAATAAATATACGTCGCGTTTAAAAAAAAAACGAATTACTGAAGCATTTCCTTGGGTATCTTGACATGTGTCCCTTTTTCGATTTAAAGCTTTCATGACTGCAGGGATTCATCTTCTTGGTTCTTTCGGTAAAGTCCCGTAGAAGGGAAGTAATGAAATAATAAAAATAAAACATAATAAAATAATTCTTACTATTTTATTATGTTTTATTTTTATTATTGTATTACTGCCCTTCTACGTGACTTTACCGAAAGAGCCAAGAAGATGTGTCCCTTTTGTTCCAGCACGTGCCTCAAGAGCCGATGATGCCCTTTAGTGCGGCCCCCGACGATACACAAACACGTGACACCCCCTCTCCCCCACCATCATCGTGCTGCTGTCAAACCCCCCCAATGGTTTCAAATGAGTAGGTTTGCACTTTCCAAAAAAAATGTTTTATGCTTGCACAGCTTGCAAAGCCGGTCCAACCACAACACCCTTGCATCGAGGATTGCATTGCTTTGTCGTGCAGGTGGCGTGGCGGCTCTGACATTGATTTCAGTTTTCAGTTTCATTGATTTGGTGTAGCCCTGTGAGCCATTCGTCTCTTGAATCGGGTGCAACCGCAACAAACAAAAACAAAAACATAAACAAGAAAACATTTTAAAGTGACAGAAAAATCCAGGAAAAAACTGCAAAGTCTTCCAGAAAAAGCACCGTACACCAACGCTGCGCAAAAATCCTAGTGGGATGCAAGTCAAACAACAACCACAAGACAACTTAGATTAAAGCCATCATTCTAACACCGTACTACAACAAACAAATCCAAAAACGTTTCGAAATCACCAAAAATAAAGCCATAAGCAATGTAACAGTGGTGATGTCTTATCGGCGAAAGTGTCCCCCCCCCTCTTAAAATGTAGTGAAGAACACTGCTCTAGCGACCTTGATCCGTTTGTATCGACTTCTCCTCTCTCCCTGCCTCCCTTTGCGTTCCTGAAATGTTTTTAAAGGTCGAGGCGCAGCCCCGCAAATGTTCGCTTACGCCCCTTGCTGGCGGAAGGGCTTCCACTGGGAGGAGATCTTAAACGAGAGCTCATCTCCACTGCCAGGTGGCACTTCGGCCTCCAGTACACTTCCACGCTGGGCAGACGGTCTTGCAAGGACTGAAGGATGCCCACAATCTACCCCAACACACGCGCGTGCTTGTCAATCTACTGCCCGGACTGCTGGGTTGACCAAAAAGGCGCAGGAGATTAAAGAAACTTGCCCTGTGCCTCAAGACGCCCCTTCATGCGTTGCCCTGTTACGAACAAATCGACTTACGAACAGACCTCTGGGACCGAACTAGTTTGCAAATAGAGCAGTCCCTGTACTTTGCGTGCCCCCCCCCCCGCTACTCCCCCCCCCGCGATCCCCCCCGCGACCCCCCCCCCCGCTCCCTCCTACAGAGCCACGCCCTCTATACCAATTGAGTCATTAAAGCCCGCCCATTACCTCCCGTTCAGCGGCACACGTGGGGAACAGACGTGAGACTTTACTCCTGCCCCATCCATAATTGCGTGTAATCATCCAATGAGTCGAAGTAATCGAACCGATCATTGGTGAAGCAGATCAAATACTTAAATAGTCGGATAGCAAACATTACTTTGCAGCCTCATGATGATTGTCGGGAGGGGTCCCCGCGTTGGTAAGTATTTTTTTTTTACCAAGAGGTATTTTTCTTGTGGGAGGAAACTGG